CAAAGGCCTTGCTCAGACTTGCCAGAGGCCAGGAGGCCGGGTTGCTGCTCTGGGGGCCCAGCAGGTTCTGTGCCTGAAGCTGGTTGACGAGTGCGGCGCAGGACTCGATGCAGCTGTTGCCACCTTGACCAACCAGGGGGTTGAACTTGTGCGCGGCATCGCCGAGGATGACGATGCGGCCGTAGTGCCATCTTCGCATCACGAAGTGCGGCAGAGCTGTGACGCCGCTGTAGAGCAAGTTCTTCTCGACCTGGCCGAACTTCAGACCGTTATCGGCAACCGTTTTGTCTGCGCCCCGCGCAAACTCGCGGACCTTGTCCGCGTCGTCGAATCGAGGAATATCGTTGATGGGACACGTACGTTGCCCATCAGGCAGCTTCCAGAACCAGAAGACGAAGACCTCGGCCCCGGGGCCTCCCATACAGCCCGCGACTGTGCCGTGGCCGCTCGCACCGGTGACCTCTCCAGCCTCGATGCCGTCGGTAGGCTTGGCGGTGCCAAAGATGCAGGCGTGCTCACACGGGATGTCCTGCCTGTCGCGCACCGGGATAGCGGCGGAATCGTTCGCGGCATCGGCGTTTCTCCACATTTCCCGGCGGATGGTGCTGCGCACGCCGTCTGCGCCGACGACGATCTGGCCCTGGAACACGGAGCCGTCTTCCGTGTACACTGTGGCTCCGTCCTCTCTGGTCTCAACACGCTTGACCTTCTTGTTGACGAAGAAGCGGTTCTTCTCCTTGATGTGCTTGTACATGACGCACAACAGCTCGTAGCGCTCCATGAACATGCTCGGGTAGCCGTGGCGCTCGGTGATGAGCTGTCGCGTCTTCCTGGTCATGATGCGCTTGCCTGTGGTCATGTCTCTGACGATCATGGAGTTCACCGGTTGCGCTTTGGCGAGGATGTCCTGAAAGAGACCGAGCTGGTCGAGAATACGCAGGCCATTGGGAAACAGGCCGATGCTGGCGCCGACGTTGGGGGTGACGGAGTCGTAGGCCTCGAGTAGGATGTAGTCAACTCCGCTGTGTTGGAGCATCAAGGAAAGTGCGAGGCCAGTGATGCCACCACCGACAATGATGACTTGGCGCTTCTTGTCTTGGGTCGCCATGTTGTTGATGTTGTTTTGTGATCGCAGGTTGATTTGGTGTGATGTTGAAGGATTCTGATGTTGACCGCTATGGCAAGGAAAGACGCTAATGATGGTGATGATGAGAAGGAGCAACTCAAAAAGGGCAAGAACGCCTGGAAAAACCAAAGTTCTTATATGAAGTCGATACGCCTGCCTTCTAACCGTCAACAGGGATGTTCACTCAATCAAGGTGGTAAATGAGCGGACACGATGCCGTCCGCATTGCGAAGATCGCAAGAATTAGGAAACAAGATCGTCTTCTGCGCAAAATTCAAGGGCCCCGAATGCAACTGCAGCCCCGAACACGCAAGACAAAGAGGCTTCTCCACTGCGCATTTAATCAGGCCGTGCAACGCCTGTTCCATCGTGCTCGGCTCGGCCTCGTTGTAGCCACTGAAAGACCCCAGATGTTGCGACTGATGGAGCTTGACCGCTTGGCTGGTGGGTAAGGACGTCGCGGTGCGACCCCTGTCTCACGCAAACTCGCTATCAACACAAACGGCACGCGCCATTCGTGTGTTCGCAGTCAACTGCTGCCAGTGGCTTATTTTGCCCTGTCAGCTTACGGCCGATCCCGAACATAAGTCCGATTTGATGTTATCAGATCAAGCCGATACGGCTCCCGCATGGTAAGATTGAAAGTGCCGTTGATTGAGGACGTACGTGTTTGTGTCTGAGCTGGAGATGGCTTATATCCGAAAGGTGGGTTTCTCCCGCACCAGACGTCGAGTTCTCCTGATGCTCGTGGGTTTCTTCCATTGAGTTTAAATTTCGGTTTTACGACTCGGACGCACAGATAAACCCAAAAGTCCGTGAATCATTCTAAATTTGTCCGAATACTGGCACATTCCCACATCAACCACAAGATCCCTCTGGTTTAGATCAGAGAGAACTGTATATCTTGCCTTCATCTTACCATGGATCCGGGCTATCTCGCGCCAGCGACTCAAACGCCTTCATAAGACAGAGCCTTCGGCCCAACCTTCCAATCCTTAGATTTTATGAAGGCTTGAATTCGATTTCTAAATGGCTATATGTGTCTATCGCTTTCGCAGCTCGACCCTCACAGGAAACTCATCAGCGGGATGCCCACCGCCTCCACCCTTGACGGCTTGGTACATCCTGTCGCCATTGATAGTCCTCACTCCACGCTTAGGATACATCTGATCCCACTCACCATACGCAGGCGTGATGCTGAACTCCCGCACAGTCATTACCAACGCAACCCGCAACTCAAGTAACGCCAATGTCTGCCCGATGCAGTTTCGCGGCCCCCACTCGAACGGCCGCCAGGCTGCTTTGGGGGGATGCAAAGGATCTTCAGGCCCAACGAGCCAACGTTCGGGGACACAGAGTTCGGGGTCTTTCCAGTACTTTGGGTTGTGATGGATGGCAAGCGGAAGAGTCCAGACGTTGCAACCTTCAGTTGGATGCAGTTTACCGTCTTCGTCGACGATGTTCAGGTCGGGGCGTCCCTGTCGCAGGGCACCTGCTGGCGGTAGTATCCTCAATACCTCTTTGATGAAGGCCATGGTGTATGGAAGTTTGTTAAGGAGTTGAGGATCTGCCTGGATCTTGTCCTTGGATTGTGATGGCCTGGAACCAAAAATCTCGTTGTGCTCGGCTACTACTCGTGACAGGACTTCCGGGTTTTTGGCGAGCAGGTAGTAGGAGTACAGAAGGGTGCTGCTGGTGGTGTCGTGTCCAGCGAGAAGGAAGAGACGCACTTGCGGAGTGATGATTTTTTTGAGAGTCTCGTTTGTGCTGTTGACATTCTTCTCGCCGACATCCTTGAGATACTCATCTATAAACAGCGACGCTATAGACTTTGACCTCGTCGAACCAGACTGAGACTGGGACGAGCGCTTCGAAAGATGGTCATCCAACTCGGCATGGATGTATCGATCAACCTGCTTGCCGTTGTACCACAACACAAATGGTCGTATCGTGAACAGCTTTGTCAACGGATGCAAAGGTTCTGTGAAGGAAGTCCACATAATTTGCTTCCGCAGAGATGTGGCTAGAGGGTGGTCTATCAGTTGATGGCGTAGGCGGGAGTCCCTGGTCCAATAGGTGAGTGAGGTGAGTCTCAATCATGAAGAGTATACTTACAATACTACAGAGCCAATGACATCAAATGTCATCCTCAGAGTCAAGTCCTCTAGCTGGAAAACCTCGCTCAAGCCCTCGGAGCACCGATCAAACAATTTCTGCCGAAATACGGCAACCTCGTCTGCGATGGCGGGAGCCAGGCCCATCATATACCCTGGGCTGAAGCCTGGGTTAAACAAGCGCCGCCATCGCTTCCACTCATCCCCATCCATCGTCAACAGACTTCGGCCGCCCGTAATTTGCTCGAGGGGATTGATGATGTCAGTGCCCTTGGCGAGGGGCAGGCTTTCGAGCTGAGCCGCGGCATCTGCATCGGATATGACCATGACAGTTCCGCTGAATGGCCAGAGACTGATGTAAAAGATGCCCTTCGGATAGTCTTTTGAGATGTACCACATGATGTTGTGGATGATAGAGTCAGACGGCAGCAGTCGCATGACTTTGCCGAGCACTAGAAAGTGGCCCGCTAGGAACGAAAATTTAGGCATTGGCTGTATCGTAATTTAGACATTATTCGGAAAGTAGGAATTTGAAGACATCGTACCAGGTCTGCTCTCTGCATCTTCCATACCTTCTCCCGCGCTGCATACAGCTTTGTGAGGGAGTAGAGGAATCCCGTGATGACGACCGCAAAGACCGCTGCCCAAACATGGCTGCCATCCGCAGTGATGCGCGGCATCGTGAAAACGCAAAAACGAATGAGCACAAACAACAATCCTGGACCTCTATGCTGTGGACGGACGGTGGATGCGGACGCGGGTGCTTATCATGAACGTCGTCTCCCCCACGATCGGGAAGTACGGGGAAGACGCGGCGGGCCGAGCGGGCTGATGTCCACTGAGAATTAGACGCACCAGGCGGCTGACATCGATTGAAAAGGCTCTGATTGGTTGGTGAAGACGCGAAAGTGGCATGTCTTACCAAAGTACCAGCGAAGGAGGGGTTGGGTGATTTGAGTTCGTGGGCTTGCTGTCAGCGGCGATCCGTTTTAGGAAAGCGCTTCATAGGTGGCTTATCAAGGTGTCATCTCCTTCAGCGGCACTCAAGAGCGCGCTGGAATTTAGTTGCATAGCCATGTTCAGGCTTCACTTCGTCTAGACTCGTCCACGGGTTGTCTCTTTCAACGCTGGCGAAGAGAGATCATTTCGCTTAGCAAGGCCAGTGAAAGTGGCTTTTGCGCCACCAACACAGATAATCATCCCTGGATTGCAGGATTGCAGGCGTTTCTTTTTCCTGCCAACACACACACACCCTTTCCGTTTTCCCTTATCACAGCGACGAGTCATCGTTCCATCACTCTTTAACCAGCCACGAGCATTGAAAAAAACAGCAACTCCACCGCAGGCTTCGCAGTCGTGACATCGGAGAATATTTCGTTATCATCCACGACAGGGGCTGTGCGCCAAAGGGATAGCGACTGGCCCATTGTTGACGGAACTTCATCCCGTACATGTACGTATGTCGATCAGTTCCATTCCAACGCTGCGGCTGCGGCACAGCGAAATCCACCTTCCTTCTTGGCTAAAGTGACGTGGGCAGGCAACGTATGCGGTCATTGCATTGCTTTGCTGCCCACCAAAAACACTTTCGCGACTCCGACGACTCGAAATCGCAAACGTAAAACGACCTCAATCTCAAAGTCTTGTGAACTGCATGCGAATATCGAATGGTTTTGTGAAGCATTTCTGAGTCTTTTTAAGCTTTGTTTCCTGCCACAGTTGAACACACAGCCCTTTCCTGCTCTCGACAAGATCGCGAGATGGCGCGGGAGACATCCCCTCTGCTCGAAAATGCGGACCCGATTGAAGCGGAGACTACACCGGAGACTCCTCTGATTACGGCAAGTGGGGAGGGTGCAGCGAAATATCCACGATACCCGAGTGCAATACTCACCGTTTTCGCCGTATGCTTTCTTGCGGATGCTGGCTCGGCGCTGCTGGGCGTTCCCGAAGTACGGGCTTTCGAAATGGCAGTCTGTAGAGACTACTACATGGAGCACGACCCATCGGTCATCGGGGAGCCTCCCTTGTCTTACGTGGATGAGAGCCTTTGCAAGTTGAGGGAGATCCAGACGAGAATGGCGTATCTTCGGGCCACGAAAGGACTGATCATGACCATCCCAGGTGAAGCCAACTGCCTGATGTGCATGAGCCCCTTGACTTTCCGAACGGACCTTAATAATCGAGGGTGATTTCAGGCATTCTTCTAACCTTTCCGTACGGATATCTCTCGGACAGAGTTGGCCGCAAGCTTGTGGTGTTTCTTTCATTATTCGGTCAGATCTTGGAGATGTTCGCAACTATCGGGATTCGTGAGCATGATTGCATCCTCACTGATACCAAGACCAGACAGCTAAGTAGCTATAGTTTACTTCCACCGTGCCTTCTCGACAAACATGGTCCTTCTGACACCAATCTTCCGCATCGTCGGTGGCGGCAATCGCGTCTTGGTCGCTAGTCTAAACTCGATCGTCGTGGATACTGTCCCTCCTAGTATGCGTCCAACGGTTTTCTACGTTACTGGGGCGGGTTTGCTCATTACCGAAACTGTGATGATTCCCCTTGGTTCTCAGTTGTTGCTGAAAGACTTGTGGCTAGCCTTCAAAGTCGCTATGCCTATACTCCTCGCGTCGTTGGTGCTAGTTGGCGTTCTCCCTGAGACTCATGATCCTAAACATAATTCTGGTGATGGAACCGACGATGCGTCTGTGGACAGCTCGGATACGGTACATGACTGATGTTTGCCCCACAACTCCCGGTTTACTCAATGCTGACTTGATGACAGAACAAACCATTCCTACACATGCTTCTGAGAAGAGGGGCCAACAATGTCAAGAAAGCTGGGCGAGGTCTCAGGGGCCTGCCCAAGGGAGCAAAGGTGACACTGTCGATCATCTTTTTATCCAAGTTTGCGAGAGAATGCTCGGGCCTGTTCGTTCAATATGCATCCAAGGTATTACACTGGCCCATCGCCAACGCGGGATATGTCATATCAGTCAAGAGCTTCATCTCTCTCGTGCTACTGATTTTACTCGCCGGCATGTCGACAGCTGCCAGCCGCCGGGGCGAAGCCGCAACGTTGCTTCTGAACAGGCGAGTAGTCATCTTGAGCCTGGCGATGCTAGCGTTGGGAGCGTTACTGGTCGGTCTCAGCAGAGATGCGGCGACTCTAGTCCTGGGTTAGTACCAATTCCTCCCATTTTTATTGTTCGGCATGGATATCTAATATTTCACTTCGTTTAGGTTCAGTATTTGAATCCACGGGATACGGAATCGGCCAAGCTCTCCAAGGAACCTTGGCTTCGTTCGCGAACCCATCATCAACTGGCGAGCTCTTCGCCGGGGCTGCGCTAATCGAGCTACTCGCCGGACTATCGGGTACCTTTGCGTTAGCTGGCCTATTTGACCTAGGTCTTCAGTCCAAGTTTGTCAGAGGAGTTGGATTGCCCTACTTCGTGGCGGCAGTAAGTTACCGAATTACCAAACGTGGCCGTCTTCTAGCGGTTTCTGACAAATCATGTCCAGATACTCTACGCGATAGCTGTCATTGAGTCATTGTCCCTGTGACGGGGTCATGGGACGGAGATCAGCATGAAGGACTCTATCAATGATTTTGATGTGCGTGCCTGTTGAGGTTTTCTTACCTTACGAATACGACATGGAGTCTGCGAGAAAGAATAAAATCAGACACGGGGGAATAAAGTTAGTAGAGATCGCAAGGATGATCGGGATGATTAACATAGAAGTTAAGTGGAGGAAAGCGAAGACAACATAGATAGTGCGACAGTTCGTGACTTTAGCCCGCCGGAAATGTCGTCTAGTGACTGCAGTGGTACTCTCCAAGCGCTGCAAAAGAATACAATGGTTCATCTCGACCTCGACGAAGTATGTGATCGAGGAGGGAGAGGGGTCGTGAATCAAAGTTCAAACTAGAGCGCGGTTTCGCTAAGCTAAAATCAAGGTTGGAATTCAAGCCATCCTTTCCACGTTGATCATGTCGGCAATTGCGCGTCTTCGTAATCGCCCGAAATGTCCGTGTCACCTGTCTGCTAAGTAACTGGAAAACTATAGTTCTTTCCATCCCACTTCTAGATAGAAGTGAGGTGAGCAGTCGTGACCCATCCGAACACTCGGCAGCCCACATTATTTAGTCCTCAGCTCACACACAGCCATGTTCTGGTCCTCTCAAGTCATCGCAGCAGTGGCACTCTCTGCGGTCTTGGCCACAGACCTTGCCACAGGCCCCTTAACGCAGCATGTCAATATTTTCACGGGCACGGCACAGAATGACGACCCCGGCAACGTGTTCGCTGGCGCAGCCACGCCTTTCGGAATGGCAAAGGTTACCGTTCAAGTAGCGGGTTATGCTCCAGCGGGCTATGTCTCCGTCTCGACTGAACTGACCCGAGGCGTATCGCCGTTGCACGATTCCGGCACTGGTAGCTCTGCGGGCAGCTATGGCAACTTTTGCATCATGCCTGTCGTTTGCAAGGAATTTCTGGACTGTCCAAGACTTGAGCAGCCACGATCTCAAAGGAGAGTGGGCGACGGTAACAACGATACGGGGTTTCCTGGATATTTCAGCACCCCGCTTGCCAATGGTGTGCGTATCGAGCTCGCATCAACTCAGGCGGCATCTCTCGAGCGGTACACCTTTCCAGAGGGGTCAACACCGACTTTGGTTCTGGATTGGACCGACGACTCGCAACACTCCTTCTTGTATGGAGAGATGCATGCCGATTGGAAATCACAGCGTTTGACGATGAACGGGACGTATCGAAGCAGCTTCGGGCCCAGCCAATTCACATATACTGCCTTCCAATGTGTTGATCTGTCCGTCGCTGGTACTATTACAGACCATGCATTCTTCGGAGGCAATGCGAATGGAATGGATGCCGTACGTGCTGACTTGGATCGGTGGGTTCTGCCTCCTATAGCCCAGCGTCTCGGCAGACCGGACTTCGAACAGCCAACACAGGCTGGGGCTATCGTCCGCTTCAAGCCTTCGTCGGACCAGAAAGGTCCCATCATTGTTCGTCGCGGTGTTTCGTACTCTTCAACAGAGGTTGCATGCAAGAATATGAAGCGAGAGCTACCAGATACCGACTTCAACAAGGTTGTAGCAGCGAGTAACGCAATGTGGGAAGACAAGCTTGGCCGCATCGTCTTGTCCGACGACACAACCGATCCCATCAGAAAATTGTTCTACACCTCCTTTTACCGGACGTTCCTCTCGCCTAACAATGTCACCGGCAACGCGCCTCCGCCATATACTGACTCTTCACATCCGTATTTCGATGGGCTGTACTGCTCTTGGGACACGTACAGAACTTTGTTTCCCTTAATGGCACTGACATCTCCAAGAGAGATGGCCCAGATCGTCGATACCTACATCGACGGATATCGCAGAGAAGGATGGTTGCTCGAATGCAGGGCCAACAACGTGAAGGGGTATGTTCAGGGAAGCAACAATGGCGTTCCCGTTGTAGCGGACTTCATCGTCAAATACGCGGACCAAGCGGACAAATTGGGACTCAAGATGGACGACTTCTGGAAAGCGCTGAAGCGTGATGTTGATGAAGCGCCACCAAACTGGGACTATGAGGGCCGCCGCATAGAGACCTACAACAAAATTGGCTACATTGCTTACGACTACTTAGACACCACCTCCGTGGGTCAAAGATCACGAGAAGCCAGTCGTGGTCTCGAGTATGCGTTTGGAGACTTTGCCGTTGGTATGGCAGCACGCGCGCTAAAGCAGCCTGCCTCAGTTTCAGATCCATACTTCAAGCGTAGTCTGTCATATCGCAACAACTTCAACCCCAATCTCCAGTCGGACGGCTTTTCCAACTTCGTGGCCCGAAGGTTTGAGAACGGCACCTTTGCTCCGTCGAATCCCACCGACTGTTCCCCGCGTGATAGCAACTCAACGCGTCCCTGCAGCACGCAGGCTACCAATACGTTCGGCATCTACGAGAGTTCCAGTTGGGAATACAGTCTTTACGCACCTCACGACGTGAAGGGGCTTGTCGAACTCTTGGGGGGCAACAAAACTTTCGAACACCGCTTACACCACTTCTTCGATGCGGGTTATTACCTTCCTGGCAACGAACCAAGCTTCCAGACACCGTCGCTCTTCCACCACATCGGCAGGCCTGCAGAGTCAGTCCAGCAAGTTCGACGCATAGTTTATGACAACTTCAACCTGACCCGTGGGGGCTTGCCTGGAAATGATGACAACGCGGCCATGGCCAGCCTTTTGACATGGTATCTACTGGGCTTCTATCCAGTACCTGCGTCCGGGGAGATGCTGGTTCTTTCGCCCTTCATGCCAGGGTATAAAGTGCAGAACGAATTGATGGGAACGGTCAATGTGAAGGTCACAGGGTTCGACCCGGCCAGTCTAGCACGCAACATACCTTCAGGCGCCCGAGCCTATGTCGATACTGTCAAGCTTGATGGTGTTGCCAAAGGTAGATGTCGTATCGACTTTAAGCAGTTTTTTGCTGCCAAGGATGTTGAGTTTGTGATGGTGGATGCGAAGAAGGATGGGTGCGATGGCCAAGAGCCTAGCAGCCTCAGCACTGGTGGCTTTTCACTTTGAGGTCCTAGTGAGGAGATCGAGAAAATGGATTGACAGATTGTTTTGATCCTGACAACCGCCGAATACGAAATTGGTACACGTAGGTGTACAGACTAACAAATGTAATACAAATGAGCCAATATTTGCGTGTGCCAAGTAAAACCATGAACCCATGAACAGAACTCGACAAAGAAGCGCGCGAAACATTTCCTCTCAACCCTCTTACTTAGACTGCGAGTAATTTCCCTGTATAACTTAACCAAGAAAAATCTATCCTGCACCAATCTCTCCAGCTTATCGTCCCATGGGCCGGTTATGTGTGTAATACTGCCAAGGCGCAGCACCATTCGCATCCGGAATCGAAGATTGCTGGAGAGCCCTCTGCACATCATCAAGATCATCTTCGGTCAACAAACCCATCGAACCCAGATCAGGGATCTGATTATATAATAGATCATGATGTTCTGACCAAGAGAACACGTCGGGATGACTGCGGGCATAGTCCGAGTAGTCTGGCATTGACGCAGACGAAAGACTGCCGCTGGGGAAGACAGAAGATGCGCTGGCATTTACCATCTCCAGTGACTCGCCTTCGCTCGGCGTCACGACCCCCGTGTTTGGCATTTCTACAGCAACGGGCGCTTTCTCCTCGGCCCAGGCCTTCGCAATGGCCTCTAAGCCTTCTCCCAGAATATGGCGAAGAAAGTTATCGACATCATCGACATTGGTTTCACTCAATGTGACAACAGCACCGCTTTCTGCAAGAGTCCGTCGCAAAATCTCGGGTCCGCGGATTGTCACATACTCTTGATATGCCAAGGCGCTGTCGGAGAGGCTTGGGTCGATGTATGCTGAAGATGGCCGGGGGGCGTCTGGGAAAAGGATTCTAAAAATTGCATGCCACTGTTCATCTTCTGGAAGCTGTCTGTTTGCTCGTCTGTTGAGTTCTTGTTGTTGCATGAGACTGACCCCCTCAGGCTCTGGCCATGTTCCCCTCTCGCAGTTCCTCCGGATGACATGCTGATCTCTAATCTTCTCGTCTGTGAATACTTCGTTGCAGAATGAGCAGTATATCGGTAGGTAGTGCCGTCTTTTTAGGTGTTGTTTGACGTCACGGATCCTGCTTAGCTTTCTACCACAACAACTTCCGTACGCCCGACGGTCCTTCTTGAAGTACGGACAGGCCAGGGTTTTGTTGTCCACATCATCTTCGTTGTTTTTCTTTCGCTTGCGGTCTCCATTCTGCTCAGCCTCGTCATCATCGTCATCACCGTTGTCATCGGGAGGGCCCCCTCGACCAGGCTGTTTTCGAGGTCGTTTGTTTGGCCGTCCGCCACTCAGCGGGCCGGATGAAGCTGCGGTCCCATTGCCTGAACCAGGAGTTCTCTCCGTCCAAGCACGAAAGTGTCGTAGGACGATACGCAAAACCACAGGCGCAATGCTGGAGAGAACTGAATTGCGTGTTCCCCCTGGTGGCTCGTCTAGGACCTCGGCCGCCCACGCACGTGCAGACTCTGTCGTTTCAGTCATCGAGCCATAAGTCCACTCTGATTCTTCCATGGATTGGCCACTCGGTGACGGAAGGCGCAAATGACTTCGCTCGCCGGCGGATCCGATGGGGAGGTTCTGTCCCCGGCCCCGAGATTGCGCCGGCATGGGGTTTGATACATCCCTCGTCCCGGTATACGCTTTTGTAGTGACTGAGTGTGAGACGTCAGTCTTCTTAGGACGGGCTGCCAGATCTATGGTCTCAAGTCCAAGACGCGTCCCAGCCTCTGCTTTGCGGTCGCTGCTAAGGTCAATCCTCGAAAGGGACCCTTGTGTGTCGCTTGATCCCGGTTCTACCGCGAGAGATTCATTTTTGTCATGGAGTAAAGTATTCGCCTTCAATGGCTCGACAACATCTCGATGAACCGGCTCTGTAGTATTTTGGCGAGTTGGTGAGGGATCAGTCAAAATCTTGTTCAGCGTGTTCTTAACAGGGACACTGTCACGCAGCTCAGCTCTAGAAACATGTTAGTAAGTCCGCACCCCAGCTATCGAAATCTATACGCACCGGAGATAGGTTTCTGCCTGTAACTGAAGAGGCGAAATAATGGAATCCACGGCATTCCGCAAGAATGATGGGTCTCGGGAGTCAAGTTCAATGATGTCGCCGTTCTTTTCCGCTCTGAACTGCTGGTGGATACAAGCTTTGACAGCGTTCTCAAAAGGCTCTCCAAACTGATGGCGGATCCTCCGAGAGTCGAACAGCTCCTTAGCTGTGATCAAATCAAGAGACTCAGAGTCGACTTCATGGTTGTCCACTATTTCATCATCGTCTGCACCTTCACGGCGTATCTCGGAAACAGTCTTCCCGAACGCAATTTCAATCAAGCAAAGGCCGAGTCTTGCCAGGATGGGTTCAGGGGAAAGAATGGACCAGACCGACGATGTCGATGACTGTGTTCCATGGATTGAGATGGAGGATCCAAAATGTCGGCAGAAAAGTAACGGTCGCCCTGACCGATGCGAAATCGTGTCAGTCGCAATTGCCCAATTATCCCAAGTCCACGAGTCGTCAATCCAAGGGGTGAGCGATAGCTGAATGACAGCAAAGCTGAGCTGTAAGGCCAGCTCTATGCGCCGTTTCCAGTCGAGATCAGCGCGCTGTAAACGAATCCACCCTTGTAATGGTAGAATCGGCCTTGTTTCCTGCTCTACGAGTAAGGCTTTGAATGAGCAGGCCTTGTCTTCTATGGCGCCACCTTCTTTGGGTTGCATGGTGACCTTAAGTGGCTTTGCGTTTCCTGCTGTATTCAATTGTTCGACAGCAGAGTTCGTCGTGACGGCAGGGCACCGAACGTAGATCATATGGGGATCATGACAGCGGCATCTGTATTTGTCATTGAGCAGGTTGAAGGTGGCGGTTGCCCTCCGTGACGCGTTGTTGAGGCACTTGCAGAAATGAGTCGCATATGGCGCGTGAAATGCGTGGGATAGTAAGGTCTGCCCGTAAAATGTCCGGGAGGCCAGAGTCCGATTTGTGTCGGAAATATCTTCCAGTTGCATCTGGAGCCGTGTTCTGGCATTCTCATTTTGCCCTGTCCCGAAATCCAACTTTCCACGAATCTTGTCTAGTACCTCCTAAACTTCGGTTAGCAGATGAAACGAAGCGTTATTTCTGCTGCATTCAACGAGGTAGATCAAAGAAGAGATTCGTACCTTTCCTCTGCCTGCATTGACAAGATCAACTTTAAGCATACGAAGCTGCCGAGTAAGAGTTCCTAGATCGTCCAATATTTGCGATGTAGTTTTCGCATCGAGCCCTGCCTCTGGTTGTTGTATCTGGGCATTATGGTTGTGGAATTTAGACGAGGACAGAAGACGCTGTAGTCTTTGTGAGGTCTGATCAAACACAGTCTTTTCGGTTGCGACACCTCGCTTCAGTCCGCCTGATTCACGATCAGGCTCAGCAATCTTGTAGCTCTCGACAGCTTCGGTGACGCCGGGGAATGTTTCCCATACCCCGCCGATGGCGTCCTGGCATGACATTTCGACGGCCTACAGACAATCAAACTGAGGAACGAAGTCGCAAGATCTCATCCGTCATTAGACGTGGGACATGTGAGAGTAAAAGACAGAAGCAGATGGGCTCAAAGACTTGGCTTTTTTCAGGCCATCACCTTTTCTTCTTTAGAAAGCTTCTGGGTGAGTGGGATGGGCCACGACTACAGGAGACACGAGGCAAAAAGTACCATGCCTAGAGCTTGTCATCCAGTCGATGTGCGGGGCAAAAGTGCATATTCGCCCTGTCAATGGTTCTGCTTACTGCCTGCATCCTGCTTATCAAGTTCTCAAAAATAATTTCATTGGTCGTCAACGCCAAGATTGGTCAGACGACTTGTGCCACACCCTCCAATTCATTCGCCCTGCTCTCCGAACACTCACATGAGGTTTGGGGGGCGACGCGGGGGTCCTGGCCGGCTCGCCAACAAACGAGGGTTTTCTCAGTTATCATTCCGAGTACATCTCTTGTGACCATCTGACAGCCGCGAAGATTTCTTCCTGTTGGGAATTAGGAAACTGCGATATTCTTTGCCCATCCAATTCTTCGTAGTTCTCGTTGTCCCTCTCATTGTTTACCGTCCAGACATGTGCTGAACATGCCTACAACAACGGTTACAGAGTTCAAGGCCCAAAGGAAACATGTGGCTCGCACTTTCAGATCAAGAGGTCCGATAGCCGCCAAATTTGAAGACTGTCAGCAATTATTTGCGCAGGTATCGGATGCTCTTCAAAATACTCGAATCCATCATCTCGTCGATAGATGTTGGCGCAGATTAAACATCTGGGATGATGACTGCGGCGCGTCCTCCCGGAATCTTGATTATGCTTTGAAAAGCTCGCCATCGCTCCGCAAGCAAGTAATCAATCTTCTGCGTGAGCTACGCCAAACGCTTGAAGTCATTCGGGGTATGTCAAGACATTGGAATTTTCAAATACCTCTATTTCTTCCAACAGCCTTCTAACAGTATGAAAGTGATCGTGGCTGAGCCGCTCGAGGTGCCGAAAAGCGAACGAATATCCGAACTTGTCTCGTCAAGGCCACCAGACGGCTTCAAAACAGCAGTCTTACCTTTTGAGGCCTTTCAAGATGAACCCGAAGCTGATTCGAACTTTGGACTTGGCACAAGGCTTCAAGAGGCCCTTGACATCATCGAGAGTCTGGTGCACCTCCTGCCTACTCTCCGAAACCCTTTCGAGGAATCGGTGTCCTCAGACGCAACACTTTACAGTTTTGAATACTGTTCACTTGATTCCTACAGAGAAGAGGCTCAAGAGCTATTCCCGCGTGCCGATCCAAGTCTCCTGGAGCGTCTGGTGCAAGCCCAGTGGCTTACTAGACGTACTCTTCCGAGCGCACGTGATATCCCAGAGATCACGATAGACCCCAGCAATGCGGCTTCCACTTCAAGAGCTCTGGTGCGTCGCGAGGTTTGGCCTTTACGTCGGAGGACAACAACAGTTCATGATGTCAATGACGCCGAGTCTGATAAAGCAACGTCCACGATCCGCTCACATGTCGACACAGTAATGTCGCGAACTGCAAGAGTAGCGGGCAACTCGGTCACGTCATTCGAATGGTCCTCGCAGTCTCAACCAATGCGTCGTTCCACCGTACCGAGCCCTCCAGTTGAACTTGAGAAGCTCGGAGCTGATCATTTTGACTGCCCTTACTGCCATTGTGCACTACCACTCGCAGTGGGAGTTGGCATGAGTCACGGTGATTGGGAAACACACTTCTACCAGGACGTGAAGCCTTATATCTGCACATTCGGCCAGTGTCATGCCTCAGACGTCTCATTCGCGTCACGACAGGAATGGTTTCGTCACGAATTGGACTTTCATCGCACTGTCTCGCTTTGGAAGTGTGGGTATTGCAAAACGGAGTTTGGCGACGCAAATTCGTTCCAGAATCACTTGCAGTCAACCCACGTCAACTTGCCCCTACCACAAAAGCTGGACACACTGATACGTGCCTGTCAACGTCTTTCAAACGACATTCATACCTCTTTGGAATGTGCTTTTTGCCGCGGAATCTGCAGAAATCTAGACGAGCTTGAAACCCATCTTGGGAATCACATGGAGGCCTTCGCAATTGCGATTGCCCATGAGTACAAGCCTTCGGTTGATAATTATGCAGAGGACAAGGAGAATCGTGAAATGATGATCATGGAGTTTGTCTCAGATCAGGCTTTGGAAGGCAAGGGCTACAATTTCGAGATTCAACCACTTTCGGTTACCGAAGGTGTGGATTCTATCGACGACAACCACTTGATTCAGGTCGCCGACTCCGTAACCGATGATGAAGGCCGGGGGCAAGGGCCCAGAACCACAGGTGGTAATTGGAAAATCAACAAATTTCTGGATCGTCAACGGGAAACCGCCAAGACCAATACTGTCAAGCACAATCTTCCTGCACAGTATGAGAACTTCGCAGGCAGAGACGAGGATCTCAGTCGCATCCATGATTCGTTATCCTCACAGAGCCGGGTGTGCGTTCTTACCGGTGTCTCAGGTATTGGAAAAACTGCTACGGCGGTAGAGTATGCTTATCGTCTGGGTGTTGAGTACTCATATGTCTTTTGGGTGGAGGCCGAGTCCCCGGGACTGCTTGCGGACAAGTATGCTTCGATAGCCGATGCTCTCAACCCCGGCCGCGACAGCTCTCAAGACGATGATAATCTCATTTTCCGCGTGAGGGAGACCCTGTCGATTCTGGACAAAGACTGGTTGTTGATCTTTGACAACGTCGTCGCTTGGACCGACATCAGCCCTTACGTCGCGAAGGCCTTGACCTCTAGTCGAGGTTCTGTGCTTATTACTACCCGAGAAAATCCTCTTCAATCCGCTCCAGCATGGCTCCATCAACGCCGGTTTCAATTAGGACCCTTGTCGACCGAACACGGACGCGAGTTCCTTCTCACGTCAATCCATCCGCGCATGCGCAAAGAGGATCTCGAAGACGGCGAAGATTATGCTCTTGCAGCGAAGACAGTCAATATACTGGGAGGTCTCCCCTTAGCAATCAGCATGGTCGTTGGATATGTCAAAGAGTCTCGTTGCACTCTGAGCGATTTTCTTGAGATGTGGGAAGAGAAGGAGCTGAGAGGCAGGAAGCCAAACACCACTAGCATGGCCAGCGTGTACATCGACACTGTCGACTCGCTTTGGGATATCGGCATTCGTGAGGTTCCAAGTAATAGTCGAAAGTTACTCAACATTCTCGCTTTTTTGAACCCTGACCGGATACCCAAGAGCCTGCTTGTTGACAATCATGAGGAAGATTACCTGGATTTGCTGCATGCTTCCGAATCACTGAGGTTAGTTCGTCACTGAGAATCTTTGATGATGAAAGTAATATGCTGATTTTCATACTTTCAGCTACAATCGAATGATCACCAAGCTGAAGAGTCGAAGGCTTATCACTATCAAAGAGGCACCTGGTGCAGAGACTGAATACACGATTCATCGGTTACTGAAGCAGAAGATCATGGGCGATATGGATGACTACAGCATCGCTGACGCCTTCCGTATGACATTCCGTCTCATACGTAAACGGTTTCCCCGGGCAAACCCCCAGCAGGTTCCGAATCCGACGAACTGGACAACTTGTCAGGAGTATATGCCCCACATCGACAGCTGCCATCAGGTCTTTGCGAAGGAGCGGAAGCGAATACAGCGTCTCTCGGCCGTGAATTCCCTCGAGGTAGCTGAGCTCTTCTACGACGCTGGGTTTCACATCTGGTCAAGACGCGGGACGCTCTATGACGGACTGGAACTTCTGGAGACAGCGATTAGTCTGCTCGACGAGATCAACTACGATCGTGACTCGAAACTACGTGCAGATATCAACTGCATCCTTGGCCTTTTGTTGCTCGAGTTGAGTTGTGAAGATCGCCTCAAAGGCACCGACCGTCTGTTGGAAGCCCGCCGCATCCGCAAGGTCATCTATGAGCAGAACCCTGAGGATCACGACACCGATGTGCTGCGCATGAATGCCAACTCAGACTACGCTCTCTGCCTCTTGAACTATCATAAGTTTGACGAGGCTGGTGATGAAATGTTGAAATGTTTCGAACGCTACCAAGTCTGGGGAGTAGAAGACGAGAATCCGTTCGAAAATTCGAAGTATTATGGCAACTACAGCATTGTACTTATGTTCCAGGGAAAGATGGAAGAAGCTATTGGATCAGTGCGCAAGTGTCTCGATCTTACTGAGCGATTCTCCGGGAAAAAGGCTCAATGGTACCGCCGATTGTTCCTATTGGCAAGTATCTATCTCCAGAAGGGCGAGCTTCAAACGGCGCTCGAATATCACCTTGAGATTCTCAAGGCTAGGTTGGAGATCGATGGCAAACACGACGCCAACTTCATCCTCAGTCTGTATGCGGTTGCGTCAATGTATCATCACCTGGACAAAGTGGATGACGCCATGTAAGTGCCATAGCCCATACGTAATCTGTCAATTGGAAGTTGCCAGAAAGCTAACTTCGTCCTCCAATATCTTTTAGTACTTACATGGAACAATGCGTCGAATGTGCGAGAGATTCGAAATGGTCGATCGTAGGTCTCGCCAGAGCAGAATATCATCTCGCAACGCTTTACGAGATACGAGGAGTCGAGGAAAAAGAGGCAAAGGCCTTAAAGGCTAAGTCAACAGAGGTACTGGAACAAAACAGACGCTTTGCGGAACAGTGCGTGCAGGATTCAGGCGACGATCTTATGATATTTGATGATCTTCAACCCACGTTGCTAGGGCGCTACACAGGGACAGCGCTTCTCAAGCAGTTACAGACCCGTCTTCATCGCCACCAATAGGCGACATAGGACGCGGCGTGTTGAGTGAAACGGATGGGATGAATGCAGCCGGAACTCTCGATTCTAGAATGATTTTGTCGATTGAGCCTCCTTGAGAATTTCGTTTCTTGTGTCTGTCTCTCTTTCGTCTATATTTAGCGTCAGATTCTCGCTCCCACCTTCTATTGTTTTTGCACTGCTTCAGAACGCCTGTTCCTGGTGAAAGTTATTAAATGAGAACTCTATCATGTCTAGTACGTTGAAATCTAACTCCGATTGTTACCTGCACCGTTCGACATGTTCTCAGTTCGACCAACATATCAAAAGAAGGCACGCTAATTCCATGTTCTTGCTGAGAATGTTTACAGCATCCGCTGATGGATATCATGTCATATCCAGTTGATATAATCTTTGGGAGGGGTTCGTTGGGGCCAACATCACTCTTCCGCCCATTGAGATCCCCGAAAGAGAACCCTGAAAGAAAGCCCTCCGCTGTTTGGCTCAGACTGGGAGTGCGGAGCTTGTCTTGTGGCAAGTAAATCCAACCAACAACTGGCAATGGCGCCAAGGTCGAAATAAACGTAGTTGAGCACTCTGTTGTGCGGCAGTAAAGTTGGTGGGTAAACGCTCGCAGGGGGCAAGCTGAACGTTCACCGGTAACGTATCTGGAAGTCTGGGGTTCTACACGCGCGGCCTGAAAGAGCGGTGCGTTGTGAGCTACCGTTCTCATTCAAGGCGCAGATCTAAAGACCCGGCGTCAAGGAGTGGGCATGTCTTACAAAAACGGCGGGTGTCATGCAGCCATTGAGCCCTCGCTAAAGCAGACTTTCGTCCTCTTGTCATAATGAGCAACTAGGTCTTTCTCGGCAGCAAAATTGGCGTCGTCGGGCTCCGCCCCGTAGTGAGTCTTCCACGGCTGAGACAGGTGTTTCGAGCTCTCTGTGGCAGCGATAGCCCAAGCTGGCAGAGGCATGGGCTTTTTGCTGGATGCCGCCGAGGACTGCGACGAGTTGCCGCTGATCTGTTCCGGGAGTTGGTGCATCGCGTCGATCACGAGAAACGTAAGAAGCGTGGAGAAGCCGAGTCGAACGAATGACAATGTTCGTCGAGGTCAGCAGGCATTTTCTTTAACGTGAATGTGCAAAAGCACAGATATAAGGATGAGAGCCCGAAGTATTGGGCTTCAAGGGTTCCGGGTCTAGGCTGGGCCGATCGGTATGGTGCTGCAAGCCACGTAGTACAGAAGTACCGATAGGTACCGCCTTCCCCCTGCAAAGGAGACATGCGCGTAACACCTTGCCTTCAAAGAAACGGCTTCGTCTGATAGGATAAATTGTCCTGAAATTCTCCTCTTCATGTTCGACGCATTTGGCTTCCATTACCCAGTTTTCATTCCATCGTCGAATCACGCTACTGCAAGATGGCTTGCGGAACTGTCGATGCGGAGCTTGACTATCTTCGACGGCTACCGCTGTACCAACAAGAGAAACCGTTCCAACTTTTCGTTCCAATCCACGAACGTGACCAGGATGCGCGCTCCACAAATCTTGAATTCGAGAAGAGAACGCAAACATTCGTTGATATCCGAGACCAGGTCAACGACTTCTCACTGGACTCGCATGGATTCCAAGTAGAGACCTCTCCAAGCAGGCTCAATGCACAGTCCTTCGGAGACCAGAGCTTGATCAAGAACGAATATTTGCCGGAAGTTGAGAATCTCCTGAAATTGGTGGGAAATTCTAACGATAGGGTTTTCATCTTTGATTGGAGGGTGAGCTTCTAGTCTCGCGCTGTTGGCCTCAATTTTCACTGACGCGATAAACCCGCCCAAGTTGCGCGATGCCGGGGCACCACGAGAGAGGGAGGACAATGAGTTGGACATGAACGACTTGGCTACGTGGCTACGACCCTCACCAACAGTCCACGTAGGTAAGTGCCACGATGCATTCATGATCGCGATCGTTCGGTCTCCAGCAAGCTAACGTCCTTCTTCCAGATCAGAGCGCATCAGGAGTTCTTCACCGGGTGCTACTTCACTTGCCAGATGATGCACCATTTCTATTGCAAGGCAGGGTGAGGCTAATCAAGTAAGTCCTCGTTATCGTCCTTGACGCCACCAACGTCCTGCCATTCTGATGGGATGGATCAAAATAGTGTATGGCGGCCGATCGGAAACTCCGTCCAAGATTATCCGCTGGCATGCTGTGACTCCACGTCAGTTCTCGACGAGGATCTGATTGAATGCGATCACGTCCGGAGAAAGTTCAAAGGCTCTAATCTCTATGCGCACCATCGCGATGGGCAGAGATGGTACTACCTCGGCGAACAACGACCGGAAGAAGTGTTGTTGATCAAGATGTTCGATTCCGACCCAAGCATAAGTGCCCAACGTAAGTCTAAATCTCTCACTCAAAGGCTAGCATACTAAATCAGGCTCTAGGGTGCCCACATGCCTCGTTTCGTCACCCTCTGGCATCGTCAGAAGCAAACCCTCGACGGAGCATCGAAGTCCGAGCCTTGGTATTCAGTCAGATCCACGATTCAGACCAGCCGCCACCCACTGTTACGGGAGATTGATGGAGAATTCGTGCCGGGCTTTGCCGTACACACGGTGATTTCTACTCCATCACCACGTTGTAGACCTCTCACGCATCTGGTCCTAATGCTACATGGTGGATTGAGAATGCTAGAGCACTTCTGATTTCACATGACGGTGGTCTGGCGACACAGCAGCCTTGAAACAACAGGATTATTGGCACAATTAAAGAACCTGAGAGCCTGTCCGCAATATCAGCATCTGGTTATGGTTTTGTTCCGTCGATCACAGGTGCGACTCCCTGATATTCTCAGTCTTCTCAGGCATAATCACTTCCAGAAGCATAATCATTGACCGGATGGCCTTCATCTTCGACCTTGCATGGATCATGTACCAAGGACAGAGCAAATTACCGATATCGGCGGCTACTGCATATGCGTTGTCTGACACCTGCATCAATTGCCAGAAATCGTGCTTGCGGAAAGCGCACAACTGTGCTCTGGACAGAAACACGGTCAGTCTCAACGGAATGGATCTACATTCTCATTGGGCAACCTCGCCTTAGCTTGATCGATTGAAATGTATCCTCAGGTACCTCCTCTGAATTTAGCCGGGGCCTAGAAGCCGCCATTTCAACTCGTTATGCTTGGTTCAATCCAATTAATAGTACTGCTCACGTGAGTGATTGTCGCACCGATGGTCAAGAATTGATATCGTTCAGTTGCTATCTCCCTGAATGCCTCGACCAGGTTAGTTCTTGGCTCATCATTTCAACACATCACCAAGCTAACTTGGCTCTATTGGCAATTTCCAGGTACGTATTCCCTCATATCTTCTTTGCCTACCAATGTGTCCCACTTCAATACCAGGATATTCGGCCTAAATCCATTCATGGTTCTTGATCTTCTTACTATCCATGATATCGATGTCAATTCGTCCGTCATAAGCTTTTCCTTCCCGCCTTGCCCTCAGAGTATCCTTCCGAACTTCGACCACCCTCTGTTCTATTCTTCTCGTCAGCCACCACGTCCAAAGGTTGGTAGCCAACGCAGCCAACGTGATCGCAAACCCGATGAAGAAGCTGTTCCTGTAGCGACTATACGCCCACTTCGACTGGAAGAACTGCGGCCCTATCGCCGCTCCAAGCTGCGCAACACTGCTCTGCAAACCAATTGCAAAGCTTGCACCTGTCGAGCCGGCCATTATTGACGTTCGCCATGACCAATACGGTACATAATAAGAGCTTGAGAAGAATTGTGACAGTATACACGCAGCATAGAGTCCTGCTTTGCCGGAGACAGAAAAGAAGAGAATAAAGCAGACAATTGTTCCGAGGACGGTGCAAATACACATCAGCGGTCGTGGCGCCCACGCACGAGAGGTGATCAGGACGCAGATCAACATGGCTAAAATGCCAGCAGCCGCGGGTGGAATATTGAGAAGCAAACTGTTTGGCAGCTTGGCGAACCCCAGGCTGGCTATGATCGTTGGTAGATACCAGCTCAATGCATATGTAGCGAGGTTCATGAGCGTCTGGTCCAGTAGGAAAGCCCAAGTTGTCGGTGCTTTGAAGGCTATCCATGCTTCCCTGGTATCCCAGCTCTTGTCTGCTGTTGCAGGGGCACTAGAGGGGAGTCTAGCCTAAAGAAACTGCTGTTCGCGTGGAGTGAGCCACGAATTGCTTCTCGGGCTTTTCGGGAAATCTGGAAGCACCCAGAAAATGACGCCTGCAAACAAGACGGTGGCGACGCCCTCCAGTATGAAGGCCCATCTCCAGCCGCTCAGGTTTTGTATCCCATTCATGAAGCTTGCCCCGTAGCAAACAAGACTTCCCACAATGTTTGAGAGGTTGGAGATGGCGAAGTACCACAGCAGGGGCCGACCAACTTCATCCGTACGGTACCAATAGCTGAGAGTCGTGATAACTCCCGGGAACATGCCAGCTTCGAACATGCCTACGAGAAACCGCAGGGCTAGTATCTGTGACTTGGTGTTCACTGCGCCGCAGCACGCCGTGACTATGCCCCACGTGAGAAATATGCGGGATTCCCAGGCATGAGGCGTCATGTACTTGAGAAGGAGGTTGCTCGGCAATTCGAAGATGATGTAGGGAATCTCTTAGATCCATATTAGCCGAGGATTCATGCCCGAGGTTTGGGAACTGACTCCTTGAATGGTAGCAACCCAATTGTAGTCATCAGGTGTCATGTTCAGCTCCGAAATTATGTTGGAATCCGAACCAGCCTGCATGGTTTTGATGATGCTGATGTTTCCAAAGTCGATATTCTTGACCATGAACATGATGCCTATGAGGACGCTATTGACAGTGAGCTAGCCATTCATCCTGGCAGTTACATGCCACCCAATACCAAAGGCTTACAAGAATCTTCTGTCAACTTCGTTCATAATAGCCTTTTCTTCGTCGGCGGTGAATGTCGCAAGAAACGCTGCTCGAGCTTCCGGGTCTTTTCGGAGATCCCGAGAGACATCTTCGAGACTGGCGAGATCTGCATCATGTGTTATGGGCACCGTCTTTCCAATTTCCAAGATTGATTCGTCAGCGTAAGGGTCCATGTCGAGGTTGGAACTGGAGCGATCATTCTCTGCACTGGTGTTGCCTTTGGGGACTACCGTGTTAGCCATTTTGAACGTCGTAGTCACCAGAAGTTGGCTAAAGGAGAGACCATCTCGACTCTACATCAGACTTATTGTAGGTTCTACGTTGAAATAAAGGCCATTCTAGCAGCACACAATTCGACTAGCAGCAGATTCCGTGCTGCAGGCCTATTATCGCGCTTTCGGGACATGGATTTTATGCCAAGATTGAAACTAGCACGTTTGGCTTGTCTTCCCACCACCAGCGATATTTTCGGGCTCACACGAAGCACACATCAAAATTCATTAGTTGGAAGCTTAGATACCTAGTCACGGTCTCAAAAGCTATTGTCCGAGTGCTATCTCCGCGACAAGATGAGACGCGCACCCAGAAATCTTGCGAATTTGCAGTAATAATGACGTGATGAGGAAACATGCATGAAGGACATCAACACCATCGCATACGTCGGGGAGACCCCGCGGGAATAGCAACAGAAGTTTTCGAGGCCAACATAATCCGAGATCGGTCGCAGGCCGATATGCGCGAAAAGCATGGTGTTTTGCGCCAGTTCGGCATGTTCTTCAACGTTGATCATAACAGAATTGTCGGACAGTCCCCGTAGCCAATGAAAACGGCATTCATGCGTTTCTCGGTGATGAAAACCCATGCTTATCAGTGCCGTGCCATATGGGATTCGATGGCGTGCCAGTAACGTCAGGGATGCTTCTCAAGACGTGCTTCTACTCATGGACGAACGATGCCAGGGCCGACAGTTGCATCTGGCTTGTCTGAGACCATACCTTGGACTTCAAAGAAGATGCACAAGCCCCAATAGCCTAAATCACAAGAAGCATTGCCAAACAGAAGCATCAACTCATCCACTACTTGACCATTTTCTACACAACTTTATCGACTCATCAAGGCCGACGGTAAACAGCCATGTCCACTGCTGAAAAGAAGAGACTTCGGCTAGCTGCCTTCATCTACTCCGGAGCTCAAACACAAATATGGCGACACCCGGACATACACGCGCATGAGAGCCTCGATGTCGAATATTATATCTCTTACGCACAGCTTGCAGAAAGCGCCAAGTTTGACACTTTGTTCCTTGCCGATGGTGCATCTTTCCCGACTGGAAATCTCGCGAAGCATCTATGGAGTGTCAGCGGCTTTGAACCTGCCACTTTGTTCTCCGCAATCGCAGCAAGAACGAAGCACATTGGTCTTGTCTATACAGCGAGCGTCAGCGACAATGAGCCGACTCACGTCGCAAGACAACTTGCTAGCCTTGACCATATAAGTCACGGAAGAGTAGGATGGAACGTCGTCACTACTCCTGGACCGGGTTCTGCGAATCTAGGCGTTCCTGCCGAAGAAACGAAAGACAGTGCTGCAAAGTACAACCGCGCAAGATGATTCTTGACTGCTGTCCAAACGCTCTGGGACAGCTTCGAAGATGACGCCCTCATCAGAAATAAAAAAACGGGGGCATCTACGTCGATCTGAATATGGTTCATTGGCCTAATATTGACGATGGACTGTATAGAATCAACCAGCCCTTGAAGGTTGAGCGTCCGATTCAGGGTCACCCGGTTATCGCGCAAGCTGGAACATCTGCTGAAGGAATAGCTTTCGGTGGCTCCACGGCCGACTTGATTTACTGCGCCAACTATTCCATCTCTGATGGGCAGAAGACATATCGCGCTCTCAAGGATGCAGCCAAAGCCGCTGGAAGAAACCCAGATCACCTAGTCATTCTCACTGGCGTGGCCGTCATTTGGGGAGCAACACAAGAAGAGGCGGAGAAGAAGTTGCAAGAAGTGACTTCGCTATGGCCTATCGAAGTCGCCGTCAAAAATCTCGGAATCCACTTTGGAGATATCGAGATTGACTCTCCTTTCCCAGACTCGTGGTCGGCAACATTTTCACATGGTCGTTCCGCGGCAATCGCATCATTTGCGAAGGCGAACAATCTCACGATACAACAGACGGCGGAGCGATGTTCCATTGGACTAGGACACAGGCCGCTGGTTGGAACGACGCAGTCTATCGCTGATGACCTTCAGGCATGGCTAGAGCAATATGCGACTGATGGCTTTGCAGTCATTCAGCCGCGTCTGATTGACGGGTTGAGGGAGTTTTCCGAACATGTCATCCCTGAATTGGTGAAGGGCGGTCTTTTCAGGGGAGAATATGAGGGTAGAACATTGCGAGAGAACTTGGGTGCACCGCGACCGGTGAACAGACATATTGAGAATAGGTGATTGATATTTCGAGTCGAATTCGATACTAGAGATCAGTTGAATAAGCGTTGACATCACTGTTTTGGTCACCTCAAGTTAAGTACACCCCTGGGTTGCACAACTCATCGACGAGAATCTCAGTTCAAGTGAGGATGAATTATGTCACCAAGTTGGATGTATGCATGTTTATTGAAGGCATCTCATTCACGTACAATTATGGATCATATTTCTGATCATCACATTTCGCATCCAACATCTCCATCAGAGCTTGGACAACCTGCCACCTTCGTTCGAAGTGATGCTGGGTCTTGCTGTCACGGAGAGACCTCTCAGCTTGCCCTCATCCCTCCACTTTCCCATATAGTCCAAGAAAGAGACAGTGCCTTCAGCCCACACAACACCTCGCGCTTGCTTCTTCTTCTCCTCAGGATCCTCTGAAGCTGCCTGTCCGTGTCCGTTAAAGTATCCTGGCGTGCATCCAGAAAGGGAGGAGAAGAAGGGTGCTCGCTTGGCAATCTCTTGACTGTGCTGCTCCTCTGCCTCTTTAGTCACTTCCACGATAGCCCTCTTGCCGGAACCCACACGACGCTCGGCTTCGAATATCATATATGTGACATGCCGAGCAATGAGTCCCAGCATGAACACATTGTTTCCTGTAATAGTGCCTTGTGCTGTGCCAGAGAAGAAGAGATTGGGAAATTCGTTGGTAGCGTATCCGTGGAGGGTGGCAGGTCCGTTGCGTCGCCATTTATCATCCATAGAGATCCCGTTGCGTCCTAGGACTTGGACACCAACCCTTCCAGCCGGGCTGCCTCCCGTGCGGCCACCAGCGACGGAGTAGCCGGTGCTGAAAATAATAATGTCAACTGGGTACTCCATGTCTCCAACTACAATGCTCGTTTCCGTGACATGAGAAGGCCCCTTCCCATCCGCGTCGACGAGATGGACATTCGGGTAATTGAAGGATTGCAGATATTCGTCGCTGAATGTCGGGCGCTTACACCAAGAGGGGTACCAGGGCTTCAAACTCTCAGCAGTCGCCTTATCCTTTACAATGCTGCTAACGCGATCGCGTACTGCCTCCATGTGTGGCAGATCTAAGGCGTGAAACGAAGTGGCTCGTCGCTCTTCATCTTCCGGTGTTGGACTCACAATTCCATGGGCTGGGGACCCCATCACCGCAGAATAAGCAGGCATATCAGTCCAGCCATCATTGACGAGATTGGGCTGACCGGGCAGCACAGTGTTTGTCATGTGCCGGTTCAAGTTGATTTGTCGCTCGAATTGCCAACCCTTCTTGTTTGCGATGGTGGCTTTGAAAGTGTCAGGGTACGTCGTTTGCTGACCTCGTTGCTTGAGATAGGCCGGCGTTCGTTGAATGACATAAAGCTCCTTGGCGTACTTCGCCAGCGCGGGAACTGCTCCTATAGCTGTTGCAGCAGTACCGACAATTGCGACTTTCTTGTCTCGCAGGGTGATGAGTGACTGGTCTTCCTGGGATCCACCCGTGACAGCATAATTCCATCTGGACGTGTGGAATATGTCGCCCTTGAATGACAAAAGGCCAGGAATTCTGGGTACTTGTGGTTTGGTGAGAACACCGGCAGCCAAGTAGACATATTGCGCATGAACCTTGTGCTGAATGGTGTCTGAGCCTGGACCTCTTCTCTCGGAAAGATTGATATTCCAAAGCTCCTTGTCGTCATCCCAATATAGGCTCTTTACGTCTGATCGGAAAAGAGTCTTGTCGTCCAGCTTCCATCGAGAAGCGATGCGCTCCGCATGTTGACGAATTTCGGCAGCTGGCGCATATTTCTTCGACGGGATGTAGCCGGTCTCCTCCAGCAAAGGTAAATAGCAGTAGCTCTCGAGATCGCAGTGAAGACCAGGATAACGATGCCAATACCAAGTACCACCGAAGCCACCAGCGGCATCGACCAGTCGGATCTCGTCTGCAGTTGCAACGCCGGATTCGATAAGGCGCACAGCAGAGACCAATCCTCCAAAGCCTGCACCAAGGACGAAAAATCGAATGACTTTCTCCTTGGAAATAGGCGATGGCATTGCGCTTAGAGCTGCGTGGTCTGCCCAAGGATCATCGAGGAGTGAATGAAGTCGGTCCTCCGGAGCTTCATTGAGGGGAAGAAATTGAGCAGCGCCTTCAGGCCTCAAACGTTTCTTGGCCTCCTCAGCGTACTTTTTGCGAATTTGTTCGAGCCTCTGAGGGTCAACAGAAGAGATGGGATCTTGTGATAAAGCGGACGTCATTTTAGACACTTGTAGCTGAGGTGCTTTGTTCGACAATGCTTAATGATGAACTCGACTGATAACGAGTAAGTTTGCCTCTATCGACGATGAGGATAATCGTCATTATCTAAGTCGTTTTTGAAAGTTGCGCTGCTGAAGAATCCGACACATTATTAACCGTTGATGCTGACACAGCATCGTTATTGGTGTTGATAAGGCATGCCGCACGCAATCACAAGGCACCTAATACGCCATCGTTACTCGAGCACACAAACTGCAAGCGGTCGCACGAATACCATCGGAGCAACTCCGATGTCGCTATATCTTCACGGATCGCTTTTGTTACTATGCATTGCCGCTGTACTTTCAACTAACATGATTTCCAATCATGCTCCAGTTCCGCCAAGTGGAGCTTCAGCCATTAGTGCATCAAACCCGAATTTTCTAGTCCTCAAACGGCCGTCATATTGCCGTTGGCTTTGATGATGTCGGCAGCATACTCGGCTACTGCGTACACGGTAGCCTGCGTGTGGGCTGCGGGCAAGATAGGCATGACACTCGTGTCTACAACCCAAAGCCCCTTCACACCATACACCCGTAGCTTGCTATCAACAACGCCACCCCACTCCTTAGGCATCATGGCCGCTGTCCCAGCAGGATGATCGAAACTCGAGGACACCCAGGACTGGCGCATAATTGCCTCAATCTCAGCATCGCTCGCGGCGCCTGGACCAGGCATCATCTCAACCGCAGCAAGAGACTTTACACTGGGACTGGACATGAACGCGCGTGCCTTCGCTACGGCTCGGATGAGTATGAGGCTGTCGATCGGATTGGAGATAGTGTTGAAGTCGACTAGAGGGGCGATTGACGGGTCTGGATTCGTGCTGTTGATAGCGATTGTGCCTCTTGACAATGGCTTTTGAAGAGCCACCGGAACGGACTCGGCGCCGCCAAACGTGATCTCTACCACCCCCGCTTTCGGGTTCAAGAACTGCTTTTTCAGAGCATCTCTTTGTTGTTCGAATCCTTTCACTAATGCCGGGTTCTCGGCGTACACTTGTGGCAAGTGTTGCAGGGGTTCTTGCTGGCTGAGAGCGTCGGCAATAATCTGATAGTTGCTCGAGTCAAGATCTCGCAATGACGTGAACACCACCTTGTTCCCCCAAGCATGCGAGTGAGGTCCAGTCTTATTGGCTAGATATTCAGCCCATGAATGATTGTAGAATGTTGCGTTGTTCATCAATGTTGGGTTTACAGACGTGTCATTGGCAACTTCACCCAGATCGTCAGTAATCGGGCAGGATGCAAAGCTGGTCAGAAGGGGGCAAATGGCTTACAGTCATAGACCATGTAGACGGATGGATGGTCCTGAAAGTTGGCGCCAACGCCAGGAGAATCGACAGTAACATTGATGCCGAGGCCTTTCAAAAGCTTCGAGGGGCCGATTCCGGAAAGTTGAAGAATCCGCGGTGTGTTGACGGCCCCAGCCGCTAGAACCACGTTTCGCGATCTCACAAATCGCGTTCTTGTTCCATCGCGGCTCGCAACATCAACTCCGGCCGTCGCATTGCCTTCGAAACTGATCGCACCGCCGTAGTGTCGTACAAGAAGATGAAGATTGCTGCGGTCACTGACCGGGTTAAAGTATGCAGTTTCAGATGTCGAGCGCGTGGCGTTCTTCCCGCCGGAGTTTTGAGGTAGCCAAGCAATCCCGACGTTGTCGCCATCGGATCCATCCTTTAACCTTGGGACTTTCATGTCTTCGGCCCAGGCTCGAGCTTGCAGGTCTTTCAGGTTGGTCAGTTTCTGTTTATATAGTCCCATGCTTGATATTCAATTGGACCAGAAACGTACCAGCCGCAGGCCACTGCCATGAAGGGAATCCAACTTGGATGGGGCCATTTCCATACGCATCTCGGTTCCAGTCGTAAGCATACTTGTCAACATATTCCTGGGAGGGAGGAGCAAATGTTGAAGACTTTCGAAAGTACTTCAGCATGTTGTTCCAGCCCCATCCAGGATTCCCCAGTGCTTCCCACGCATCATAGTCGGCGACTGAGCCTCGATCCCAGGCCATGCCATTAACGCTTGATCCTCCGCCAACAGTAGCGCCGATACGGAGTCGCGAGGTCCGGTTTCCGAGATGGACTTGAGGAACCGAAGTCACATTATAGAGGCGAGCCGACTGGTCGTAGGTAGTGAAGTATGGTACAGTAACGTTGATGGTGTTTGGAAAGTCACCGTACTCGACGACCAGGACAGTTTCTTTGCTGATGTTAGTGACATCCGAAGCTTAAATCATCAAATAGGCCAGAAGGTTCGCCCTAGCGAAGCAACCAACAAAACAATACTAGGTAGAAGTAAGTTGAAATAGTACTCACTGGCTGGGTTCTCGCTCAGTCTGTTAGCCACGACGAGCCCACTTGTTCCTCCGCCGATTACAATGTAGTCGTATTCCTCTGCGACAGCGTTCAGGTCAGTCTTGGCCTGACTGCCGCAGGAAGCCAGAGCCGCACTGGCGACCAGAAGTAGTGACACCTTCACTATCATTTTACCACCACCAAGATGCATTCGGACCTAAGACTTGAGACGGCGGAGCAAGGTGAGGATGCAATTTGTGTTGTGCTACCTAGATATATATGCATCTTACAGTGTTGGCAACCCCGCACCGCCCACCAAATATGGCAGGCGATAAGATTTGTGATGCCACATCATGCAACCCACTATTCGCCTGGTGTAGCATGACATGTCCTGAAAGTTATGACCGGTCTAACTCTGCCGCCTGAGGTCTCATTGACGGGCGCATTAATCCCAGAAGGTTTCATCCTTCGGTAAAAAGCTGCATAGGGGTGGGCTGTCAGCCAATCTTCAGAAATTTGACGACGTCATCATCGTCCCTTGCATTTCTCACTGCAGGAAGTCTTGGAGGCTCTGCGCAACACCTTGCACATCCTCATATACATGCCAGTGGCCCATATCAGGCAGCACAATTTGCTTGGCGTTGCTGATCTTCTCAACGTACGCCTTCTCTCGCATCTCGGGCGAGACTGCTTCATACTGTCCAGAAATAAGCAGTGTCTCGACTGCCAGTTTCTCAAGGGCCAAGCCCTCCGTGGCATTGGCCAGAGCGGATGTTGCCTTTGCGTACCCTTCAGGATCTTGACCAAGAAATCCCAGTCTCACCGCCGCAGCTGCGATAGGATTTGTCTTGATTGTGTGATCCGAAAGCCCCGACGGAGATTTGAGGATGATGTCCATCCCCTCACTCCTCACCTTGGAGATCGTCGTGGAAAGAGCTTTGGCTATCATCCCCGGAAGAGGGAATGGCGGCGGCCCCATGAGCACAAGCTTCTTAACGCGAGACGGATGTTCGATGGCGAACTTGGCGGAGATGATGGATCCCATCGAGTGGCCGACCAAAATGGCAGGAGACTGGGCAGAAACCCCCGCAACTTCGAAGATACCCAGCAAATCAGCAGCCAAGGACTCAAAAGTGATCGTGCTAAGCGGATGAGTCGGGCTTAGGCCGTGGCCTTCGAGGTCGAAGACGTGCGCCGTGATGGCATCCTTCAGGTCAAGTGTCATGGTCAAGGGTGTCCAATACTCTTTCGAGGAGCCAAGACCGTGAACAAAGACGATGTTTTGTTTTCCGGTTCCCGTCCGCTGATAGTTGAGCGGCTTTGAGTTGATCATTGTCAACCCCGACCTGCCTTGAATCGATCTCGTGGCGTTGTTGAGCCTGAGGGCTGACTGTGCAGAAACTCGCTCGATGGTTGTGTTGGCCGCGGAATGGTCTGCCACTCTGTTCTTCAAAGTCCCAATGCCATCAATGGAGATTGCGATTTCATCTCCAGGCGACAGAAAGACTGGAGGTTTGCGTCCAATGCCAACTCCTGCAGGCTGGCTTCAGTGTTAGTACAGGTATGACAACACGCAGAGACGTACACGCACCGTTCCCGTGGCGAGGACATCACCAGGCTGTAGGGTCGTCCCGGCAGACAATGTGCTAATCAGATGGGGGATTGAAAAAATGAGGTCCTCTGTAGTGGCATCCTGGCGCAGCTCTCCATTGACATGGGTCTGGATGCGAAGAGTCTTCAGTAAGTCTTCCTTGGGCACTGCTACAGGGCCCTGCACAGCTGTCAATTATATACCCCAAGACGTACTCCAATCAGGGTTTGCTTACCATAGGACAAAACGTGTCAGAAGACTTGCCGATGTAGAACTGCTTGTGGTCTCTCTGTCTTTCTCTCGCCGTCAAGTCGTTGATGATGGTGTAGCCCCAAACATAGTCCCACGCATCCGTCTCACTAACGCGAAACCCAGCCTTTCTGACAATGACACCAATCTCACCCTCATAGTCAGCGCTCTCAGTGAAACCCTTGTGCAGCAGGATCTCTTCGCCATCTGCAATGATGGACGTCGCGCGCTTGGTGAAGATGACCGGGTGGCTGGGCTTATCGACCTTATCAGAGCTATCGTATCCGGAGCTGTTGAACTCTTTGGCGTGTTCCATGTAATTCTTGCCTACTGCCAGGACGTCGCGGCCTGAAATCGGAGGGAGAACCTTCACATCCTTCAACGGAATAGGAGGGTCGATTGATGCCGTGATATTTTGAGAGCCCACTTCGATGACTTGGTACAGATTTTCCACGGGAGTGCCCGAGAGAAAAGCCAGGGGCTGGATAGTTTGCTGAGCACGGTCAAGATGGCCAATCTGCGGGGTTGAGCCATCTTGCCTAGAGAAGGCGATGTAGTTGGTCAGGCGAGACGCTTGAGGTGACATGATTAGCGGCAGTGAAGCTTAATCAGAATGAGCTAGAATGATGGCTGGTGACGATTTCCGTCGAATTGCGCCCTTTCTTGGCAGATTTAGATCGGAAGACTGGCCGATGATACCATTTCCTGCGAATCTCATGTTCAGAAACGACCCCACAGCAGGTAACGAGCGATTGCAACGGCCCCCACCACCTCAGTGAGGGGTTTCGGCCGGCAAGCGAAGCATGACCCCAATTTGTCTGTCTACTAATATGTAAGCACAATGTTTTGCCTTGAACATGGAGCCGTGAAGCTTGAAGAGTTGCGTCTCACGCCGTGGGAAAAAAATGCTGTCCTCAAATCATAAGTTTGCTTTCTCTTGAATGTAAGCAGGATCACAAGTAGGTCCCAACCACTCACACCGCTCTCACGAGGATAATACCAGAACAAGAGAGATGGCCATCAATCACCTTGTCTTAATGAATGCGAGCGACTCTTTGCAGCAAGCAACCAGGCGGCCGCCATTCCAATTCAAGCCTTACATGCAGTACTAGTGTCCGCCGGTACGATGCCTGCCGACAGACCTATGAGCATCACCCAAGAGACCACGGAGCAACCCTTGTCCCATTGTCGCATCGAATTCTACCGCAGAACAGCGCTAAAGCAGAAGGCCGATCGCAAAGCCCGGAAATCCCAGTGCAAAAGTCGGCCTTGAATCGCCGGTCATTCCACACCACATGGCCTTTGGCGGTCCAGACCACCTCCGAGCCTGTAAAACCCACCCACTTCGCCTTCACTTCGCCTTCAACTGACGTCGGCGCTATCATCTCCCAGACAAGATCGGCTTGCACGCCTGCGTTATCCGCGTGCTCGCTTGGGCCAACACCACGCGCCGGCTGCTATCTTGTCCCCGTTTCGCTGTGGCTAAGACGTCATCAACGCAGAGCAGTGGCCAAAAACGACTGAAAACTTAAGTTTCAGACGGAGGCCGGAGCTGACAAAGGGCGGCACTAGCACGCGGAACCGACGACTTGTCTGTTGTTGCTCATCTGCCGGACTGCCTGTGAGTCGATCAATTGAGGTTAGCTTCCGTGCGACTAGGCGGTGGCTCTGTCCGATGTGGCGTGCGAGGATGAATCAAGGCCGTGACGTACGCGCAATTGGTAAGAGAAAAAGGAGGAGCTTGGCTGTTTCCAAATTTCGTGAGATCTCGAGGCGTGTTGGCTCCGCCAGGACTGCCTCTGTCAACCATACATGCACGACGATCATCGCTCTTCTTCCAAATTTCCAAATCAGCCATGGGGGTCGTCAACTCCATGCTTGTCAAAGATGTCAAAATATTCGACGGCACTAAAATAATTGAGCATGGCTACGTTTACGTCCTGGATGGAAAGATCGCAGCCGTTGGTGAGGGCAATTTCAATGGCGAGCTTACCACGGGGTTTACAGTCATATCGAAACCGGGACACACCATCATCCCCGGACTAATCGATGCGCACATACATGCCCTGTCTGGAAATGTCAACAGCATCGAGCAATCACTCCGCTTCGGAGTCACCACCGTCTGCGACATGCACAATGATCCAAAAGACAATGCTGAGTTGAAGAAGGTCCGTCAACACATCTAGCCGATGCGTTTCTCCGGCTAGCATAGACTGACATGTTGAATTTCAGCTCGCGAGTGAACCGTCAAACAAGGGAAAATATGCAGACTTCAAATGTGCTGGACTTGGTGCAGTCGTTGAAGGTGGCTGGCCGATCCCCGTGATGAGGAAAGAATTTTCCAACACGCCATGTGGTGACCACATCGTTGACAAGATCATTTCAACCTGGCCCATGCTCCGCAAGCCAGAAGATGCGGAGCCGTTCGTCAAGCAGCAAATTGAAGAGAACGGCGCAGCGTACATAAAAATGTTTCACGAGCTCGGCGACACTCTGGGCATGGATCTCCCCCGGCCTCCTATGGATATTCAAGAAGCTGTCGTAGCCGCTGCCCATAAACATGGTGTCATCACCACTGGACATGCCTTTAGCTATGCCGGCGCGATGGATCTGCTCCGTGCCGGAGCGGACGGCCTGAGCCACATGTTCCTTGACAAGCCGCCAACGGATGATTACATTCAAATCATGCTGGAGAACAAGGCGCATTGCAATCCAACACTAGGCCTATGCGCTTCACAAACGGGCGAAGGACAGGATATGCTGATGTCGTACATGAAGGACCCATACGCAAAACGATTTCTCATCCAAAAGGAACCAACGAAACCTCTCGGGTTAGCTGCGGGACAGAAGCCCAAGGCGAGCATCGCGAACGCGTATGCATCAACAAAAGCTTTGTACAAAGCAGGTGTGCCTCTGATTGTGGGGACCGATGCGGCTGGAAAGGGTCTTGGCTTGCCGTATGGGTTGGGCATGCATCTTGAGATGCGTTTGTTAGTGGAAGAGGTCGGCATGTCTCCTATCGATGTCCTGAAGTCGGCAACTTCTGTCACAGCAGATCGATTCAAGTTCGACGATCGCGGGAAGATTGAGCCTGGGAGGAATGCTGACTTGGTCTTGATAAAGGGTGATGTTTTGAAAGTGCTAGGCGAACGCAACGGGCGATGTCTACCAATCGAGGCTGTATGGAGAGAAGGAGTGTTTGCATCTGCAGTCTAACTTTGGTTACATATTCAGCCAGCACACGATACCACCCCTTTTCAGTCTTTTCATATACCATGCCCTTCACGCATGACTTCTTTTCCCCATGCCGGGTACCATTTTTGCAAGGCCTGAGAACACGATCGTTTGGGCTTACATTCAATTGAGGGTACAAAATTTTCACCACATGATTTTACAGAGCAGCGCCTCATCGCTAATACGTAGACGTTAAGACTTAGCTTCCTGCGGACGAAATGATTCCAATGGTTACCATCAACTTACCCAGTTGACTTGATGCTCTGTTGGTCCCGATTCGGGCCCTCAATGATGTCTCGCGCAAATGCTCAAGTCCAAATACAAATAAACAAACACATACGAGGAGAAACCATTCCTCATGTTTCAAAGTCTTTTTCTCCTTCTCCAACAGCGTCTTCCCATCGAGAGAGTGCCCCTGTTAGCATTTTGTGGACGTCTTTGCCAAAGTCCGTGGTGTCAACAATGTCCCTAAATGTGGAATTAGCTTTCCTCCGAAACCTTGAAATGAACCTGGGAATTGACACGGGAATGAGAGCGTACCGATCAGCCTCTGTCTCCAGTTCTTCATCCAGTCTTATCAACCGCTCCCGTCCAAGTTTGTCTTCGTTGGAGAAGGGTTGGTCGAAGAACCGAATGAACTGTATACCGACCCAGTTTCTCTGCTTGTCCTCTTTCTTGATATGTCTGATTAGGCGTCGGATGGGGAAATCCACGCCACAAAATTTCTCATCAGACTGCAAGTTCCAATGGCCGTTTGTCAAGACATAAATGCTGACTTGCTTTCGATTTTGGATGACCTTGGTGGCTATCAGGTCTAAGCTCGATTGCATGTCGCAGGTATTATCTGAAAATTTGCATTCTTGGACAGCTTTCTGAAGGTCCGAACTCTTTCCTGATCTCACATTCGGCTGGGCTGACGTGAAGTAAAGATCGAATGCTTCGTCTGGATCGGCTCCCCCCTCTTTCAAAACATACGCAAGAACCCGGCAAGTCCGACCTACAGCCTCTTTGTGGTTCTTCATAGATGCTGAATCATCAACGAGGAAAATCTGTCGCCGGTTATCTTCTTGCACTTTCATTATCTCTAGGCGTTCCTTGAAAACTTACTTGATCCCGTCCTTTGTCCCCCTTGACTTTATTGACATCTATTGCTAGTTGAGGAAATATTTTGAATGGATGCCTGCCACGCTGCTTCTTGGGAGTCGGGTTGAGATATTTGGAGAGGCCTGTTTTGTCTGCCAGGCAAATGTGCCATACCAGGTCAACCGTGGCAATGAGATCTAATGACTGTGGGTTAGTGGCCACTGTATGTTGCGAACTCCCTCGATCAGATGGTGAAGGAGATCGTGTATAATTATACGTGTCCTCCAAGGCTCTGCTTCCTGACGTCATGTTACTTTCGAGTTGAGCTTGATTATATGAACCAACTTCGTTTGCGAAACTCTGCTGAGCGGACCTATCTCGACGTCTCGCCGAGTGAGACGAGCCGCTTTTTTCCATTCCAATAATTGTGTTCGTTTTCGAGACCGTGTTCATACTGTCAGTCTGTAGTTGAGTAGTTGACTGAGGTCGTGAATCTAGGCCAACGCCGCTGTCCGAAAGCGTGTGCCTTCGTGGTATTGAGTTTCGGTCGGTGCTTCCAACTGAATGGCCAGTGGCTTTCCCGTTGGACACTTGGCTCGGCCGTGGAGAAACAGATCTATGTCTTCGGTCTTCGTACGTCCTTCCTACCCTCAACGATGTTGTCAACCGCGGGGGTTCTTCCGGTAATTCTTCCTGGGGCGATTCCGTAATTGAGATACTGGGAGTGTGTCCTGGACTTGGCGACGGTGATAAAAAGTTGTCTTCGGGGATTGTGGTGATAATGTGCAACCCTCTTGATTCATGTGGCGTGGCTGAGATAGCAGGGGTTGTCAAGGATCTGACGGGGCCTTGTGACACGGAATCGCTCACTAAACACTCTAAACCATCCGTCTTAGAGTGTGTAGATGGTCCTGGGTCGGTGTGGTTCGTAGGAAGAAGTACGGGCCGACTTGGAAATAACAAGTTCCACTCGTTATAGAGCTCAGCAGCATCAACTCGATGCTTTGGTTCAGCAACGAGCATCCGACCGAGAATGAGATTGCTCAGTTGGGTGTAGAAATCAGTGTCGCCTGCAGCGGTTTTGATTGCGTTTTGGTGCCAATCCTCAACTGTGTTTAGGACACATGTCCCGTCGTGGAATGCGCCTACATGGCATCCATCCTTCAACACGGTTTGTTGTGTGGCTTTGATACGGTCGTTATGATAGCGCCAACGCCCACGGTCGCCCTGAAGGCACCAAACCAGCGCTTCGCTTGCAACGCAGCCTAATGCCCAGACGTCATTATCTCCTCGTATGCCTCTTGTGCCTTTATTATCCACGCAGGCCTCGGGTGCGCCTATAATTCTTCAGTATTTCGTCAAACGACAAGAAAGCTTGATAACTTACTGTACATTCCGTTGCCTTCTTGGTCCATGGCATCCTCGTCGAGACCTTTGTACCTCATCCTTCGGATATGGCCAGTTCCCATGTCTGCAAACTTGAACGCGAATCCATGCATATTTCCGAAGCCCTCATTACAGACTAGAATGTTTTGTGGATGTATGTCTTGATGAGTCCTATCATGGTAATGTCAGTACATCAACGTAACATGAGTAGGCAGGAATAAATATGTACCCTCGTCGCATCCAGGCTCCTTTCGAATATTCTTTCGAATCAGTCAGGTTGTGAATACGCTCTAACCCTCTGGACAGACCCATCAAGCAGTTCCAAAACAGCTCGCGCTCCGTCTTACTTTGCGGAGGAGGTTGATGTTCGAAAAAGGATTCCAGAGTGCCACCATTGGCATACTCTAGTATAATTACCCGCACATCTAAGCTTTGAAAAGAACCGTAGTATCTCATGATGTGATTGAATGAGTCTTCCTTAATAAGGTTCTTGTACATGTCAACCTCATTATCGTACATGACCTTTAGGGTATCACTGCTACCCCGAAGAACCTTGAATACAACAGTCTAGCAGAGTATGCATTAGAAGTTTTCTCGTAGGAGCGATTTCTTTGGGGGTTGTCAACCTTGTAGGTGGAGCATTGCTCATGCAACGTCACTTTGTCAAGACAAATATCGTCACGACGACCGGACTCTCTCGGACTAATTCTTTCTGTTTTCGAAACTGGTATGATGTGGAAAGGAGATAATTCCCTCTTGCTTGGTTTTCTCTCACTTCTACCCATGTTGAGTGTCAGTGGACAAAATTTCCACTGGGATTTCTGGAATCGCTCGAACACTTCGCGATCGCTGCTGGATTCCGAGGCTGCAGTTGGTGTTGCTAGTAGTGGCAGCCCGCTGTCATCCACATTATACCGAATGAAGACAGATATATCTTGATGTCGCGCCATGAACGTCAGAACGGAGAATACAACGAGGTAATGTTCCCTGATTTCTTGGCCGGTATCCAGGATGTGAGGCTCCTTGCTGCAGAGAACATCTTCAATTTTCTCGATAGTCCAGAATCGGCCAAGTTCAATCTGTGGCATGAACTCAACGTGGTCCCTTTCTGCACTGTTCCCGTAGCAGTCGTATTCCTTGATGTATTGGGCGACATGTTGCTGAAAGTCTTTCACAGCTCCGACAGGTTCCATAATACGAGAGGAGTGACACCGACCAATGAGCAAATAGGAGGGATAGATATTCGATAGAAATTATCGTTAAGTAATGCCGGTTTCTAGTAAGCAGTTGAAGTCTTGTGCAATGCTGGTGACGGAGATTGGTGGGGTCCCCTGGGCGTGCTGCCTACTTAACTGGTGAGCCTGACGACGGTGCAGGTTGCCTCCAGCCTTATTTCCATTTTGGAAACATCGGAAATAATCTGAATAAAACGGCGAACCATGTAGGCGACCGGTGGCTTCAACAGGATTGTGGCTGCCAGACCGCAGGACAGTAATCGTAGCCCCCACTCCCCCTTCAGCGCGACATTTTGCATTCTTGATTCGGGAGAACCAGTTGGATCCAGGAAGCTCAGGGATTATTTTGCATGGTTTTGACCCCGGTTCCCTAAAGCGCCTCCCATTCGTGGATGCCGTAGCCTGCCGCATGCATAAGCTCATCACGCCGACTTGGCAATTGCCTTGGTTTGTCGAGCTGGACTTGGCTACCACACCATGACGGCTAAGCCGGTAGCCCAGACGCTTGACGCACGTGGGAATCTTACTTCCTCATATCGTTTCTGACATGGCGAGAAACCATGCGAACCAAAAGTATGCCACAATGGCCTCTTCATTAGCGAATTTTGCCGGCATGTGGGTATTGACAGTGTGGCGAGGTCTCAATGAGACGTTGTCTTCAGGGAACAGTTCCATTGGGTGAACTCCATCCAATTTCTACATGTATTTGACACTTCTGCTTCTAAAATAGTAAAGGTTCCTGTCGGTGGTTTCGCCAAAGTAACTCCACAGAATCACTCCATGTTCTAAAGGTTGCTTGTTCTCCACCTCAGTCTCAAGTACACGAATAGCCATGTTCCAATAGTAACGATAGTCAGCGGGATGGTGATCTTGATGAACAGTCGAAAATTGTCACCTTGCCACTTGAATGGTGCCTGCATGTCCTCCGGTGTCTCTTCGTTCCAGAGGAATACACCGCTCTGAAAGAATGTCTGGCATTTCGTCAGAGGTTCAGATAAAACTGGATATTGCTGGAACGTTCGCTCTTACTGCTACAAAAGTGGCTGGCAAGAAGAAAAGAGTAGCGACGGTAATGACATGCATCGAAGTTGTTTGTCGTGAGGTTTTGTCGGATATTATTTGCATTTGCTCGCTGTTCTTCTGGGCATACTCGGCGAGTTTGGTGTTAATCTGGTCACTTCTCTGCTGTAAAGCTTTGTCGTACTATGGAACTTCTGTCAGTCAACCTCGTTCAATCTCCTATGACTCCAGCACAACTACGAGTTGGTTACTCACCAAAGATACGCCTTGTTCTAGGTTGGCTGCCAGACATTTCAGTTGTCTCGAACGCGTCTCAAGCATCTTTGAAATGGAAGCAATCTCTCTCAAGAACTCGTCAATAACAGCCTTGCAAGCATCCATATCCTTGAATTCGGTGGCAGCGAGGTTGTTATAGTGTTCCCCAATGTTTTTGAGGACGCCAACGTTGAGATCCAAGATCAACATCGACTTCTGGATTGTCTCTGCATGGTGGTGAAGAGACTGCACGTGTTTGAATCGGATATCTTTCAGCATTCCTCGAGGGTCTAGTCCGAGAGACGGGGTGCTGGCGTTGTCGGCAGGTGTTCCCTGTGGTGGCCCCTTTTCCAGGTCTGTTGGTAAATCTTTCTGCGTCCTAGTCCAAGATCTAAGAGTTGAGCTTGTAGCACTCATCATCCTAGAGAGCATTGGCGACTTTGTCAGGGTCGTACCAGAAACCATAGTGTTGGTTTTTGATGGGCTAGTCTTTGAGTTCGTTGTTGATTTCCGTGATATTGTCTCCCTCATGAGCTTCGGATAGATTTCTAACCCGTCTTCACCGACGTGATCATCGACAAGTGCTTCCCTGGCTGGCGCAATAATGCGTTTTACGGCTCCTTCTATGTCGTTGATAAATTGGCGCCAATTCTCGTCGCACCAAGACAAGTAAATGACATGAGTGGCAAGTGATGCTTGTAGGTGGTGTGAGACATCATCTTCGTTCAATTCTGTCTTGGGCGGGACATTCAGAAGGTGTCGAAACTGCAAGATGCGCTCCTTGAAAAGTTCGCTTCCTTTAATGTTGATCCAGAGGGCTCTTCCGGTCTTCAAGTCGAATGAATGATAGTTCGCAGTTTGTCGGAACTTCCAGTTTAGTCCTTCCTCTTCATTCTCTGAAAATTCCACAGACCTCAAGAGATACGAAACTCGAGTCTCACGTCCAGACCTTCCAAGCTTCTTCAGTTCCAGGGACTCATTGAAATCAGCGCTGAGAATGTTCTTTCCCCTGAATTGGGAGAGACAAAGATCAACAGGCTCATCCTGCTCCCCGAAGGCATGGAGTGATTCAAGAAAGTAGGGATCTACTCGGTGGTATGCGCAAGCAAATTTAAACATATCCACGGAGCAATTCAAAGGCGATCTCGAGTCTGGTGACGCCAGAAACCTGTATGGATCTCAGCAAAACGCCGTGCATTGTCTAGGCCTTTGTATCACTTACAAATGACGGACAATAGGGTCCTTATCGCTCCGAACAAGGTGCTGCTTCAAGTCATTGACACCGGAGATACTGGTCTCCTGGGCAGGGAATTCTGAACAATCCATCAGTACCACCGTGGTTTACTAGATTGAATGCGGGACCATTACTATTGAGACCTCCCGTCTCCCATACGTCGATGTTTTCATGTGTGGCGCCAAACACAGTCTTCTCTTTCTCTTGAAGCTTGTCCCACTGCGTTTCATTATACCATGCCTCTTGGGGACTTTGGGTGTGAAGTTGGAATTTTGGATACTCTCTGTATCTATGACAGAGTTCAGCAAACTCGTCTTGTGGGTCGTGGTTCTGCATGATGTTCCGAGGGACAAGAATGGAGCTCTGAAGATGGTTCACGGTCAATAATTGAGACTAAGATATACCTGATTCTGGTAGAGCGGGGTTGCCGAATTTAATGTGAACCATGGTTCAAATAGGCGAATAAAATCCCCGTCTTGGATTCTCTGGGCATTTTGGAGCATTACTGGCCACTCGGCAGGCCACGGTTCCAAGCCTGGCAAGGCATAGCCATAAGGCAGAACTACTAGCTATTACAGCGGGTTGTACATAGCAGGCGGATACATACAGGTTTGCCCTGTTAATGCAGGCTACCTGTGGTAGGTATAGCGGGTTCTCAACGTTACAGGGGTCTAGTGCATATTGGATCACCTCAGCCGCCAGTTGTCTTGAAGTAACATGAGCTCGTCATTGAGCAGCAGGTGGATGTGACCCTCGTAATTTGACTTGGCAACTAGCAAACGAAGTTACATAGAATTCAGAGCCTCCTCACCAAAGTTCCCGTGTTTCAAGTCTTCTTGACCGGTGGGTTCCAGGCCTTCAAGTTCTTCAAATGGTCTATGTCGCTCTTGATTTTGTAGTCAGTAAACGGATGTTAATGGCAGAAAGAAGATGAACCAAATCTACCTTTTGCAGCTCCACAGGCGCAAAGATCACAGCTTTTATGCCTTTCACCTAGTATACCAGATGTTACTAAACGGAAGTTTAAGGATTTCTGCTGCTCTACCTCAATTTGACATTGCTTCCCATGGTTATGCTCGAGCCAGGATGTGAGGACATCCAGCCTGATTCGGTAGATCGAAAGGACCGATCGTACGTTCGAGTCCTCCATCGTGGTGAGACTATGTGGCAGTAGACATCCGCTAGATGTTTAACTCAAAGGGTATTGTGCGTTGGGCGAAATTCCATTTCATCGGTCGAGCCCCGTGGATATGCGACCGCTGAATAAATGTGGAAAAACGATGGTCACCGGGCGAAGCTCCAGCGGGAAGATAACCACGATCCTCTTTTCTCGCCAAGAAAATCTTCATCCAACCTTCTTCTTCCATTGATGTTTACTGACGTATCATTGGTCGCCTGATCTTACACCGGCTGACCGGCTGCAGTATGCGGCCTGGTGGTAACATTCCTGCAGATTGCGGCATGTAAGACCAGTTTGGAACACCGTCACACCCCGGTATTAGTTGAGCTACGCAGCCGCATTATGGTGTCAGAACTTGGCTTCGCAGTACCTTGTTCGGACAGGCGACCAATGCGATTTCTTCCCGATGCTTAAGGCCTCTAGCCGGCAGCCTACTAACAGTGTCTCGGTCGCCTTCTCGAGTTTGCCTTGCCGCTGCCTGAAAGCCTTAGTATGTCTCGAGACCATTCGGGGCGATCATTCGTCGACACCACCACCCATCATGGAGGCTGCTTATCTGTGGCCCGCATCACGAAAGAGCCCAGTGCAATGCACATTAAGCTGAACTTTGATGGCGGTGAGGTGCATGTACTTGACGGCAGAGGCTCAGAACTCGAATGCAAATGTTGAGCGGGCTCACGACCAAAGAAATGTGAGGGCTACTAAGCTGCTCTTACGTCTGAGCTCTGGCTGCGGCCGGGCATCTACAGAGAGATAGATGTCACCAGTGCAGAATCCACTGCGGTAGCGGCACGGGTTGCAAATGGTGTGCCTGGGGAACGCTGACAACTCTCAGGCGGACTGCACCATTTAGTCAGCCCAGAGCAGGTACTTCTTCAGCCCTCGCGGCTCTCCCACGTTGTAAATCTTTCTAGCTTTTGGGATGACGTTGATGGGGAAAGAACCCCACTCTTCGACAGTCCAGCGTATTCGTTGAAAAGGCATTGGCAATACATGGAGGGTTTGAAGATGTGTCCCGGTCCTGGCAATGGATCCCTTAGAACCTGTCGTGTCTTCATTAAGACCATGAGCTTAATGAGTTGGAATATGTCAAAAAATCTCACAGATAACGATATCATTATCTCGGATGACCCCCGCACTTCACTGAGCTGTTCGTTACTCTGCCACATTATCTGACTGGTTTGGAGCTCCGATAACGGGTCCGCCAGATTCCCCGCATTGTCTTCTATCAAATGGCGAGAACGGAACGGCGATGATTGAGATCTTTGTTGTGTTTAATCCTCACTTTCGGAATATCGTGAAAACAGGGTTAAGCCTGAAAATGACTCGGCGACAGGGGCGCACATCACCAACGCAACCTTGAACCATGGCAGAGTGGCTGGGGAATGTTTCCCCGCAGATTGCTTATCTTCGCTTGTTCAACCATGTCTCTGCTGAATTGGATGGTTTTTCAGTCGTTCGACTTTTTAAATGATCCTGTTTTTGTAGGTTTTGATTTGGAAAAACTATCGATACTAGGTTGTCGTCGGCGTTCATAGCGAGTTTCGGAATGTTGTGCAATATGGCAACGCGCTCTGCGCTGACTAGTTTGCTTCTTGTTGGTTCAACGTAAGTGAATGCCAAATTGCTCTAGGTTGAAGACTCACGATTCTGACATTCAAGGTTGGTAGTGTGGCAAGCTGTTCGGCCTCCAGCTTCAAGAACCTGGCTTTCGGAACTTTGACAAAAGGAACCAATCATGACCTCGTCATGAGACGCTACCTTGACTTCCACGGAATCTCAGAGACATCAAACATTTCGTACTACGACTCATTCTTTGACGCGGTCGCGGCGCTGAAGAATGACACCCTCGACTATGTCATGATGAATGCCGTGCATCCTCAAGCTTCATCAATAGTTGGCAGCGACTTCCGCAACGTCTTCATCATCGACACATTCATCTCCCCGAGTAAGCCCATTGTGGTGGCTACCAGAAAGGACGTTGCGAACCCACAATCAATCGGCATCTTATACCCCTCTGTCGCCAACTACACCGACACCAGCAAATGGTCAGATGTTGTTCAAGTGACCTCCGGTGGGCTGGTTCAAATTGCGCAGGACCTTCTGGGTGGGAAATATGACTCTGCAATCATCTACCAGGACACAGCGCTGGCGAACTCGGATGTCCTGCAGGTTGATGAGGAACTTGGGTCCCCGGACGACGCATGGCTGCTTCTGGGCCGCAATCGGACTTATACCAACAGTGTTCTGGCTTGGCCAAATGCGCCTGTAACATGGCAGTGGAAGAAGCAATGGTACTAATGAGGTTGAAATCCTAAAGGCCTCCAGAAGGGAAAGACTTTGCTGTTCGGTTAAGCATTTCATGCTTCCAATGTCTAATTTAGGCTTTTGCTCCACTAGCAGACCATCTTCACGTTGCTCTCAACGGCACAAGTATCACCAGGTGGCTGGTCCCAAATAAAGGAACCGCAATTTACTGCTTCTATTCAAATTGTCTTCCTCTTTTTTTTCACGACGTGCGTTCCCAAGTTGAAATCATTTTCATTTTTGTCGAGGTTGAGAATGGGGGAACAGGGAGGATCGCGGGGTACTGATCCCCCGCGATCGGCAGTGCAGATTCAGGACGCGTTTACACGCGTGGCGGCGACGCGCTCAGCAAGGTTCAATGACGTCTCAGGGATACCTTTCCAATGGACATTAAACTTATCCCCTTTTCTCATCAGTCGACATAATAGTCAGGCCTTTCTTTCATCCTTATGTAACGATGAACTACTCTTCAGCTGTGTCAATCAGCTCGGATTCTGAAGACTACGAATCCAACGACCAAGCGCCCGCCAAACAGATAAACAACACCAAAGTCGACTTCGGCACGTGGAAGCGGATCCTGCGTAAGCGCTTGAACGGCATCAAATCCGTCGGTGACATTGCCAACTTCACCCGTTACCCCACCTTCGCCAATCCGGGCCTCAGGATCGAAGGCCACCCAGCATTCCCTCTTCCGCTAACAACCAGCGATGCTGAGGTGATCAAGGCAGCATGCAAGGAAGCACCCTTTGGCAAAGGTGAAGACACCGTCGTCGACACCTCAGTGCGGAAGACGTGGGAACTGAACCACGCCCAGTTCCAACTCATCAACCCAGAATGGGCCGGCTTTTTGCAGAAGGTCTACCTGACGGCCGCTGATGGACTCGGGTTAACGGACGTCTCGGTGAAGCCGCACAAGCTGCTGTTGTATGAGAAGGGCTCATTCTTCAAGCGCCACAAGGACTCCGAGAAAGAACCAGGCATGGTGGGAACGCTCGTCATTTGCCTTCCCTCAGAGCATCAGGGTGGAGATGTTCACCTCGCCTTCGGCTCCGATCAACGCGTTTTCTCCACTGCGCCCACGTCTACATTCGACATTACCACTCTTGCTTGGTTCTCCGACGTGACGCACGAGGTGAAGGAGCTGACGTCTGGATATCGCCTGGCCCTGACCTACAACATCGTCCAGAACGGGTCTGCTAAGCAGTCGGCGGGCTTCTTCGGGCAGCAGGCGCAGGAGGTGAAGCAGGTACTGCTGCAATGGCAAGTTAATTATCCCGGCAATAACATGCTTGTCTATCCCCTAGACCATAAGTACTCTCAGTCGAGTCTCTCATTCCGAAATATGAAGGGTCGAGATAAAGCGGTCTGTCAGGCTATACAGGACATCGGTGCGCACAGTGGAGTTTTCCTCCTGCTTGCGCATCAAACTGATACCACTGAGGAGGATGAAGATTACTATGATAATGACGCCGAATCTGGTACATGCCTCGACGCCATTTTCACCCCCGAAGGCAAGCAAATCGCAACAGACTATACGCTCGATGACAACGAAGTTATGACGCCGAATATGTTCGCGGACCGCAACCCGGACAGCGAGGACGAGGGAGAGTTCACTGGCAACGAAGGCGCCCCTAGCACGTATCGTTATCATGATACGGTATATTCCCCCTGGCTTACTACATCTCACGCATTCCTACGTATCTAGAGCTAATGCTTGTGGCAGGTCGCTGTGCTCATCAAAAAGTCGGCCTTGGATAAGTTCCTACGGGTGAGTTCCTATGGTCCTGATGCCCACACAGGAAATATGGTCGCTCTTGTAACGAAAGATCTAGAGGAGCACCGCGATCACCCGGCCACCAGAGCCACGGCGTTGAAATTCCTAAAACACGCGATCGGGGTTACAGGACCTTCGCAAAGACAACGCCTCCCGTTGCTGTGTACTGGGCTCTCCAGCTGGATGATACGAAGCTGTTTCAGCTCGCTATGGCAGCCGCGGCGAAGGCGTGTCAAGACACCTACAACGAAGCCCTCAATGTAACGTGTCGATACATTGAAGAGAACTTTGGCGAGAAGATGGAATCGCTTGAGTGGGACAAGTGGTTGGTAAAGCTCAGGCGAGCGACATTGATCTCTCTGGCCTCGAATTACAGACGACTAACACACGATAGGTTGGGGGAGACTACCGGGAGTGCTTCTTTGTCGGGCTTGATGAATAGCATTCAACACTTCACGCCCCGCTTCAAATCAGATGCGGTCAGAGATTCCTTCAGTAAATGGGGCAACTCTAAATTGACCCTGAAGCTGAAGACCGAACCTCAATTTGGCATCAATGAACTCAGCTTCTTTACAAAAACATTGGAATCTAGGCATGAGGACCAGGAATGCATCATGTCAAGGTAAGTTTCCAGGTGCTTCGCCCTTCACCCGTCACAGATTTTGCTGACATCGTTCCTCCAGCCTGATCCCCTCCTTGGCTGATCGCGGCAACCGCGACCTCATCTACAAGGTCTTGAACACGGTCTTTGTGAAACGAGAGCAGAGAGAGTTCAGGAACGCCAAAGACATCTATGTGTACATGGTTCAGAACGCACTTCCGAAGCTCTTGCTCTCTGGCGAGGACATCACACCTACCTCAACACCCTACGCCGCACTTTCAGCAACCGTCATCGGACCCTTGACGGAGTTCGCCTACCGGGTCAACGAGGGCCTCACCCTTGGCGCCGCAGAGCAAGCTCTTCAACTTCTCGAGGCAGGCTGCAACACCTTAGTGTGGACGAAGTCAGAGTGGCAACCTAGCGCTGTCCAAGCCAACGTCGTTGAGACATTCTTGGTTCCTTTGATGACCACAATGCAGAGGCACAATATTCCTGTCGAGAACCCCGAGGCAGTCAGAAACCTCCTCGAGGTCATCATCGGAGAAGGACTCCTCCAGCAACTTGGCCCCTTCCCACCGAGGCCCGTCGGCTGGACTTATAAGCCGCGTAGGTGCGCGCCCTATCGGGGTCAGAAGACAGCTTGTCGCGACTGCGACGAGCTGGAGGTCTTCCTGACAGCGCCAGACCAGAAGGTTTGGAGGTTCGCCGCCGCAGAAGCGCGCCGCAAACACATAAATAGCCTTCTCTACGGCACCGAGAAGTACTTTCGAATGACCACGGAACGTACCAGGTCTCCGCACACTCTGGTGATTGAAAAGACTGGCGGAGAGTACAAGGACGAGGTCGAAAAGTGGCGTCGCCACGTTCAGTCAATGGCCTCGCTTCTCTCTCCCTTGAGGAGTGACTTCTTGAAAAGCATGCTGGGTAAAAGTAGGTATCGGGAGCTGATTCTTCTTGAGCCTTTGCTCAGCCAGACGGATTCGGGGAGTGTTGCCGGTGTGAAACGGGAGGCGGATGAGCCTGCGTTTGGACAGCGGCCTGCTACGCAAAGGCGATTGTGAAGGCCATGGGTTATTTGGAAGATGAGATATGGCGCTTCTAGTGAATGAAGCATCTCCGTTGACGATGATATCTCGGCCCTACTCTTCCATTCAAGTAGTGTATCATATGGTGGTATTCTTAGATCACGACGGAACGAAACACAGTGGAGACCCCTGCGACGCCCAACGTCAAGCAAGCTGCGGCCAACATGACAGATAGCCCGCCGGCTGGGCGAAAACGCCATGTGTCGTAGAGTCTACCTCGCCACGTGGGTGGTAGCGGGACCCAATATCTGCAACGGGGGAAGACATGAGATGATGGACTGACCCAGCGCAAGGCTCTTTTTCACATGCTGGGGCCACTCCTGCAAGAAATCGACTCAGCAGAGTTACATATCTGGTAAATTTCAACGAGCTTGGATACTCGACTCAAGTCGGCTACATCATTATCAGTGATGGCAACGTGTGAGGTAGCATGAGTTGTCGACTCATTCATGATACAGAGCACCACGCAATGCTGTTGAGGCATACGGTGATAAGAGGGATTTCTGAGTCGCTTATCTGACCTCATGAACTCTGTCATGTCTTCCTGCCTTGGCAGCTGAGTCGACGACTCGCGCGGGAAGGCTCGGTGGCCCTTGTCTAGCGTGAACCGATGGCCCAACATGCCGGTTCCAGCGTATCACCAACTCTGAAAGTCTCGCAGCATCTCGAAGCTTAGGTGTTGGTGCCTCCTTTTCACCCCAAGTTCCACCAAAGCTTCATCCACCCTCTGGTAGAGATTTATCAAAATCACAGGGCTAGATCAACCATCCCAAGTGCTGCGAGGGAGCAGTGGGTGGTGCGCGGGCTCCCAGGTTGGCCCGGGAAGAGGCTTGGTCATGGCGTGATCGTCTCAACTTCACAAGCGAAGGGAAGTCTCTTTCCTATCGTGCTGGAATACCTCGGCAGAATTAAGGGAAGGACAGGACGGGCCGCTGTCGTCGACACGAGCTCGGGATAGTTTCTGACAGCTCGCAGTCACGACAATCACGTGAAGTGGCCTTCCTGCGAAGAAGCGGGGCAGAGATAGAGGCAAGATTGTGAAAGACAGAGAACCGGGTGGGTGTGAAGTAAGGTAAGTGTGTTGTGAACGATGGTTTGAGTGAGCGGCGTGGGTGGTGCGTTCGTGGATCTGCCGCAGGTTCTGAAACAAACCCTCACTCAGGTAAGCTAATCTGTCATCGTTTGAACTTGCCGCGATCCATGATCAGACAACAGCCAAACCAAGCTAACCAATTTTCCCGTAGCACAAGGTTCCCACTGTGCTCGCATTCGAACCGCATGCTTTTGCTGCAGCTTGGCTTCTGGCACTGAAGAGGCATTTAATTCGGACAGCGGGCATATGCGAGTGCTATGAGTTGAAGTAATCGAGGCGGTGTCTGCTCCTTCTTTTCCCCTCACAGAAGTCAGAAGTTGGAATAGGTTGGATGCTTGATGTTGTCGTCGTTTCGGGACGCGGAGCACCCCTTGTCATCTTTCCGCGTTATCTCAATTTGGGAAGAGGGAATTTGTTGCCCAAGTCATGCAAATCGGGTACACGGAACACGATACGCGGTTGGTAGGGTTTTGCCTCTCGTAGATTGATAGCTATCCTTTGCGAGCTGTCAAGCTTGCACCCCCGCCTCCCCGAGACCATGTCCGATTCATTCATGTTGCTGATGCTGCGCTCCGTGACTACTGCAAGGTAGAGTGCTTTGAGAAAATCCCCAAACGTCAGGAGTACAGAGTGCAGCTTACATGCATGTATTCGGCGATTTCAGAGCTGAGCTGCTGCAGAGCTCAGGCTCGGGCGTTGCACTGCCTCGAGGCCCCCTCCCGGGTCTCACGGATGAACGACATCATCGCATCATCACCTTCCCGTCACCCCGGGTCTCAGCACAGTCTGGTCATTTGGGCAGTATTACTTGATTGGTAAGTTCTTCATCTAGATTTTGTTTTTCTCATGATAGGCGCATGTAAAATGATTGAGCCTGTGTTGTGTATCTCTTGTGGGAGGGACGGAACCTCTCCCGAGTGTTAGAGCAAAATGCATGGACCATCGTCGCCATCGCGGGGTCCGGTGAGTTTTTAGTGTTTGGTTTTTTGAACGCCTTTGCCGTATTGCATGATGGCCAGATCCCGCCCCCAACCGTTTTTTGTCTTTGCGGCCATTGCCCCGGTGGGATCCCATTCTGCGCCTATTGCTCGCTGTCCCGCTTCGCTTTCTAGTTCATTCGTTTCCCCTGTCTTTGCGTGTGTCGTCGTTAAAAATTGCAGAAAAATGTTGGTTGCGTAAGATGAGTGATTGGTGATTGGTGATCCGTGATTGGCGGCTTCAGTTCTTCACCCGCGAGTCCCGGGCCGGACGACTGGCCCGCTCAACCCGTCGATCGCCATGGGTCGACCGGGGGGTGGCCGATCCCCAGCGCTCAGCTTCAGAGAGGAGTCCTTCCTTGATAGCGGCGCCGCGTTTTGATGCCTGGTCGTTAATGAGTATGATTTTGAGCTAGGGATGAGTGAGTGATGAGTGAGTGGACATACTGCGCAGAGATGACACCTATCGCCGAAGCGGGAGACGGTGTTGTGGCAGTGGATAGAGCCCTGTATGGTATCACGTGAGACTAAGACCCAGGACAAAGAACCGTCATGGGGAGGCTCACGTAGTAGTTGGAGCAGTAGTAACCCATTTTGAATGTGTGTGTGTCTTTTGGCCGGCGGGGGAGTAATCAGATGAAAAGCTGGTCAGGTGGCCTTCGAGATGGGCAAGTACGTTGAAGAAGCGAACTTATTCTTGAAACTCGAGGGAGGGGAGGGATGGACCAGCCGGGGAAGGGAGAGCGAGAGAGGAGGTTGACAGGAGGTTGACAGCTCGCCGATCTTCAACTTTTTTTCTTTTCGACTTTTCGATGTTCGCGGATATATGTCAAAGGAAAGAAGTGCCAAGTTACCTTTGCAAGCACAGGAGAGGGACGGACAGGACTAGAGAGACACTTATACCATGACACGGCACACCTTGGGACACCCCAACGCCACGAGCGCCCAGACGCGGCGGCACTGGAGAATTTGGGGAGACCAAGAAAAAAAAAATTCCATTAATAAACACGCTCACTCACTCTTGGATAGTCCGGCAAGCTTCCTTGCGGCAGCAGAGCAGCAGGCTACTGCCACTTGGTCCCGCTTTGCGTCGTCCGCCTCAACGAAACGAAACAAGCCTCGGAGACCGTGACACCTGTCCAGGGCTACCCCTTTCACAGGGCCTTCCAGTCGGCTTGTGGCCCGACGAGCAACAACTAAGCCTAAAAAATCATCCGACGAAGGGTTAAGTCAGAACCCATTGATACTGTGTGGTCCAGGGGGGAGGGAGGGGAAGGGAAGCAAGACGTGTGTGAAGAAGATGGGCAGACGGGGACGATGTTAAGGTCTCGGTGCAGCTATGGCGGGCCTCCAGTACCACCATAAGCTGCGACGAAGCTGCTGCGGTGGTTGCAGTCCAGTGGTCCAGTGCAGCGCAGTGGGCAATGGGGGCCAAAGTTTCCGTGGTCAGTGCTTGTCCGGCACGGTTTCCAGCTTGCCGGGAACCCAGCGGTACCCCTGGGCCGGCTCTTCCCCTCTCCTCCCCTCCCCTTTGCCCTTCCTGAGTTGGGGGCCCTCTTTGTTGCTTGCCCTGGGCTGGGCCGGGCCTGGCTGGTGGTGGTGGTGCTTAGCTGGGCGCTCTTCGTCTGAGCGGGATGGCTGCTTGTAGTTTGTGGCAGTCCGTGGGAACCTTTTTCTGGCCCCCTGTTCCCCGTTGTCGTCGGGCGCGAGCGACTCGCGACGTTTGGGACACTGCTTGCTCCTCTTCTCTTCCTCCCAGTACCTTGAGAAGGGCCGGCAAGCAGGGAAAACAACGGCAAGAGAACGGACGGGACGGGTTGACCAAGACACAAGACGTGCCAGGGCTGGGGCGGGTTTGCGGGGAACATCGCTGGGCAACACGACGGGTAGGACGGTGGGAGATGGCAAACACTGTGGACGAAGGGCGTTCCTGGGCTCGTGCCGGGTTTCAGATGAGGGACGAGGTGACTTGAGTTAACTCGAGTACTGAGTACGGCAACTCAAAAGTACGGACGGAGTGGCTGATGTGTCTACGTGTACACGGAGCTTCGTGGAGGCATCCCGTACTCTGTACCCGGCTGGTCCCAGAAACAGCAACGTAAGACGAGGAGTGAGAGAGTGGTAGAGACGGTTGCTGCTATTTGTGGTGTTTGTCAAATGCCTTGATATCAAGTTCGGGGGAGGGACCGGCTTGTTACCTAGGCTGGTGGAGATCGGGGGACCTTCTGCCCGGTGACGGATTATGCGGATGGAGTCGGTCGAGACCGTTTGGAGGGTCCACGTCAGCCATCTAGACACATCTTCTATGCGGTGGGCACTGATTTGGCTAGATTCATTGACTCAAGATGGCTCTAAGCCGCAACGCGCCGTGGTTTTGGGCCTTGATGTTGGTGTTGGCATGTTAAGCTCCGTCATTCTTCATTTACTTTGGGGCTTGGGGGACCAAGCATTCCTCTGCAACCTAGGTACTATGCAGTTTTACTGGCAAAGATATGGTGAGTACATGCTAAGTTTGACTAACTGAATCGATGTACTTAAAAGACGGGCCGCCACGGCGCATCGAGGCGGCTTATTGCGGTTGTAGATTCAGGTGAAGGTAAACTTCATTCATGGTGGAAAAGAGCAAGATTGGAAATGGGCGCTGCAGTGGCTGCGATTAGATAACGACGCCCTGGACGCCTTGGACGCCCTCAGCAGCAGCACCGCTGTACGGCGCCGCAGACTCGACACTGTGCGGCACGTGCGCGGAAGCTAGTCGAGGTCTGGTGGGGCACCCTGGCACCAAAAGCTCAAACTTTCTGGGAGCTCCGGGAGGAAACTGTACCTGTCAGCTTTTGATTCGATTATTCTCTTTTGTTGCTTTCCGCATCATCCTCAGATCAGACCACCTCTGTGCATACCACCAAGGCACCGCCCCGAGTGAAGCCATTGCGAATACCCACGATACCTTAGTATTCGAGGACATTGACGTTGTTGTTTCTGCAGCGACTGGTTTAACCGACAATCATTGCACCATCAGCCGTCAATTGAATACCGAAAGGAATATCGCCGCCACCATGGCCGTTTTCGACAATAAAAGGTTCAAGTCGACCGTCGACACGAACAACTTCGCCGCGAGGTACCGAGCCATGATGGCGAAGCGCCCCTTCCTGCTCTTCGGCCTGCCCTTCGTCGCCGTCATGGTCGCCGGCTCCTTCGTCCTAACCCCCGCGACGGCCATCCGATACGAGAAGCACGACAGAAGGGTGCGCCAGATGACAAGGGACGAGGAATTGAGCATGCGTCGGTCGGCGCGCAAGGTCGACATGAAGGAGGAGTACTACGTAAGTCAATCTCTGCCAAGCTCACGGCCTCTTTAGGGGCCTGCGCGAGCCATGGAAATGACGCAGAGGGAAAAGAAATGAAGGACTGACATTGTTGGGAAAACAGCGTCTCGCGGCCAAGGACATCGACAACTGGGAGCAGAAGCGCGTGAAGCGTTTCAAGGGCGAGCACGACGGCATCATCGAGTAGACTCCTCCACGGCGATTGCGTCTCGCATCTCGATCTACTGGCCGTTGAATCGCAACGCATACAACAGGTTTCGATTCCTCGAGCCCATGCCCTGGACAGATCGAGATGAGGCAGATGACGAGATCACAAGAACGCGCGGGGACGAGATTCCAGTGTTGTTTTCTTCAGCTTCGCGGTCCGCGTCTTCTTCGAGCATGGCCGTCATTCCACTTGAATCCCATTCTAGCCTCACACGAACCCGAACGCGAGGCAGGCGGTAAGGCGCGCTTGTTGGCTGCCAGGATTTTTCATGTTGACGCAAGGAAATTGCATATCCTAATCTCGGGTGCTACCGACCTTGCATCAATGCGCAACAATAAACATCAAGCCACCACTCAGGGTTCAACACAGCCGCATAGCGCATTTGACGTCACTATATCAAGCCCTATGCCAATCGTCATATGACGGGTCTTGCGGTGCGGTGCGGTACGGTGCGGTACGGTGCGGCCACGGTTGGCTGCCGTTGACGGGAGGCATGCACGCATGATTTCGGGTCATGCCCGGCTCTTTAAGGGTCTGGCAGGCGGCCGTTGTTGTGGAAAATGCACGACGGAAGGGCGGGTTTTCCTGGGCGCTGGCAACGCGGGATGACGCACCTTGCGGTCGATCTGGGGTTGACCAGGTTGTGCCTTGGCGACCACTTCACCCCCCACCCAAGGGGGTCGAAACACGATGTCTTGATGGGCAGTCTATAAGGACGCCCTTTCTAGCGAATTTGGGAGATCTCTGGAATGCAAGAAGCACGCCGTCGGGTCGGGAGGTCGACACGGGGTCCGAAACGCCCTGGGGACACACTGATGTCGACCCCCTTGGGACGCCCGCCTGACGATGCGCGACACGTTACCACGCGGGCAGAAATTCCTCACGGGGGCTGACGGGTCGGCTGCCAATATCAACATCATTCAGCATAGCAAATTGCCCGGCCGGCGTAGTCGACGGCCGACGAGACGGGTCTCAGTCTCGAAATTTTGAATCATTAAGCGTCTTTCGGCATATCTCCAAGTGAACCTCTCGCGCGTACCAGGCGCTTACATGCAGGGCATCATCGTCCTGGCCTTCTCATGCGTGTGTCTGTTTTATTTTTGCAATCGAGAGTTGCGGCCTCGATCTGACAGGACGAGAGTTGTTGTGGAGCAGACTGCATCGCGATCGAGCTGAGATTATCGAGGACTCGTAGGGCGCGAAGTCAACGGTACCTCGTCGGAAGGCATCAGCCCAGCTGGACCTGTCAAGCCCATTGTTCAAGCGGCCGTTTTGTTTCAAACTTGCTCTCCGTCGTACTGCATCGGTCGATCATGTTACAGCAGGCGACACCAGCAGAGCGAAAATCCCCCGGCGGGCCATTCAGCTGTTCAGCTCGGCCAAGTGGCAAATTACACGGCAGGTTTTGCCCAGGAACATGTCGATGATCTGAGGTTGACCGCAAAAGAAGGCCGCCCTGGACGTGAGTGCGGTGAAGCGGGCGGTCTCAGAAACTGATGGGGGTGCAGCCGCGGGCGGACCAGGATTTCTCTGTCGATCGGGATCGTCGGGATGCCGTCACCCGTACCCGCAGCGAGTTTGAGCCCAGCAGTCCGGCTCTGATGGGGAAACGGCTCTTTGGCGGCTGTTTCTGACTGATGCGGATGGGGCTTTTCTTCTGTGGCTGGCGTTAAAATCGTCTGACAGCTTCGAACTCCTTCGGCAGGATTGGACGGCAGCGGTCCTTCTGGGAGGAGTCAGAGTGGGATCTCTAGGATTCGTGTTCCGGTTCGTAGGAGCTGGGAAATCCTCTCGGTATCCGGGGATGGGAACTGTGAACGCGGAATCCTGTTGGCCGACGGGGTGCGCTGGACTCTCGGCGATGACAAACACTACGAATCCTCGATAACTATTCGTCGTATACGTGTTCGCCGGCGTGAGCATGGCGAGGCTGTACTTCGGTGTTTGCTACGCTAGGCACTTACACCAGTCCGCCTAGAAGCCTCGGAAACAAACCATCGGCGTCGCTATTCTTGGGACACGGCGAGGCAGTAGGCAGACAGACTGGGGGATCCGCTGG